ACGCAACTCCTCATGTTGGATAATTGTATGTATAGTGATAATTTATGGAAAATTAATTAAAATAAATTATATATGTATATACATATAGATTTATTTATTAATTTTTCATCAACTTTTTTATTTGATTTTTTATTTATTTTAAAATTTTTTATTTTAAATCATATATACAATAATTAAATGTATATATATTAAATAGACATATAATGAAATGTATATTAGATATATATATAATTAAATATATAGAAATATGTTTTCAAACTCAATTTTTTAAATCTTATATATAAATAAAGAGGTTTAAAGGATTATGCTGAAATATATTCTAAATAGATGTTTTTTAAATTATAAAAATTGGTTCATAAAAATATAATAATAACTAAAAACAAAATTAATTATTAAAATTATTAGAATTAACCATGTTCAAATTTCTTTTTTAAATAGGTAAGGGATATAATAATAACAAATATAATTAGATCAAAATTTAAAACCCTCATTTTTTGTGGCATATTAATATAATAGCGATGGTAAATGGATGAAGAAGTGAATGTTCTATATATACAATGACTGAAAAATAGTAAAATATCATATCTTTATATAGACGAATATGTAGTGAAATATTTTATATAAAATCAAATGAAAAATATTATCTATATTTTATTATTCTAACTATTTTCAATACTATTTAATTAAAAATATTTAAATAATTTTTTATCACAATATATAAGAAGATATAGTGTACGACCTTCAATTACTGACTACACGTCAACATCCGATGTGACTATTTTCTAAATTATCATTGGCTATTAAAATCAATAAGGAAGGATAATATAAATATTTAATATTTTCTAAATTGAACGACTTAATAGAAAATTCGACTTTAGTTTTTCTCATTTTTCTCATAAAACAAGCAGATTTATTAAAATCCAAGAGCCCTGATACAAATCCTCCCAACTTCGAAAAATCCAATCAAATTTTAACGATAAAAAAATAAAAAACTAAATTTCCGTGAAATTTGTAAATAGAAAAACAAATCGAGTTAAGATATGTGTAATTTATACAAATTCAAATATGAATCCATGTATGAAAAAGACATACAAAAATAGCCATAAAAAAGAAGAAGAGTCGAATAATCTATTCCAAAAGAAACGAAATCGAGAATTTTCATATGCTTTAAGAAATATAATTATTAAAAAAATTAAGTTTGCCACTTAGAGAATTTACTGTCACCCGATTTATTCTCTCTCGACGAAACACTTAGTGGAGTTTAAAACTTCATATCCGAAAACTCTCTATTATCGGTCTTCATGGCCTGAAATGTTGAAGTCGTACATGTGATATTGCAATATTTTTCATTAAAGAAGTCTATAGAGAATGTCGTGTTCATATGTTGGATTTCAAGATCTTGACAAACATTATTCATTTAACACAGCATCATCTTATCCAATAATTACGCCGATAATTTACTATATATGGTTTTAGTAGTATCAATTAACAAGTATAAATTAAAAAATAAAATGATAACATTTGATTGATGCAAAAAATGTCTATATTATCCAAATATTTAAAATTTTATACTAAAAAAATCATAAATTATTATTTCTAAATGCGTTAATGAAAATGACACAGCGTAAAACATGTAATCACATTGACTAAACATGCATCTTATCTTGAAAAATGTATAAAATTACATTGACAAAATTATTCAATATAAAAATGATTTTATAATATAATAATGCAAAATATTTAAATTCTTTTATTTCTTCGTTTCTTCATATATATATATATATATATATAATAATTTAATAATATAATTTTTTTTATATTCATATCAATATTTTTCATAACAAAAAGTAAACATTTCATATTAACAATACAAAAAAAAATCCGCGCATCGCGTGGGTCTCTTCTAGTAACAAAGAATAAAGATTCTCCCTCTTCATATATCTTTTTGCATTCTTTTATTATTTTTACAACAACAATTAAGTTTTTGTAATTTTTCTAAAAACTTGAAAAACTACTTTAATAAAAAATACATTAAAAACTGAAAATTTTCTTTTTTTTTATTTACAAAAATCAAAATCAAAATCAAAATAAAAATTTAAAAAATCAAAATAAAAATTCCAACAGGATAATGAAAATATTAAAAGTCATAGGATCATCATTAAAAAAATTAGGGGTGTAAAATGGGCGGGTCGGATCGGATTCAATTCGGGCCTATTTTTTTTCGGATCGAGTCTATCCGTCCATTTATTTTTCGGATCTATTATCGATGGTCTAGAGTCCGGCTCTACAGGGCTTTGAACGGGTTCGGGTCGGATTTCGGATTTTTTTATTAAAAAAAATATTTTTTGTGATAATAATAATAATATAATATTCAATGAAATAAAATTAAAATTGAAAAAATTATTCAATTGATCAATTGTCTAACACTACATACGATAAGAATATATTAAAATAAAAGATATTTTTTTATCCATATAGAATACAATTAAAAACTTTTAAATAAAAAAATGATCATATAAACTTTAAAATATACAAATTTATCTAATATTTTTTAATATATATAATATATATTTGGTATAAAAATATAAAAAAAATATTGATATAAAATTTAAAATCAAATTTATAAAACATTATACATATAAATTAGACCAAAATCTTATCAAAATATTCGGTAATATATATATGATTTTAGAAATAAAATAATATATATTTTAGTATATATATTAATCAAACCCATCAAATATATAAACATATATAATATAAATAAAAGATTTTTTTTATGTTATACGAGAATAAAAATCTAATCATTCGATATATTTCGGATTAAATGGGTAGGGCGGATGAGTATCAGACCGAACTCGATTCGGATCTAAATTTTTTCGGATCGGATCGGTCCGTCTATTTATTTATCGGATCTATATTATTATATAGACCTATATGCTTAATTTTTTCGGACAGGTTCGAACCGGGCTTCGGTTTAATTGACATCCATAAAAAAAACAACACAATTTTAAGCTTTAAGTCGTTAAGGATAAACGTGTCTTTTCCGGTTAGTGTTTCTGATTTTGGTTTAGGGTATATCGCAGAGATTTCTGCCAACCATGTCGTAAGAAAACCCTAAGACGAAGCATACGCACACAGAGAGATGGGGAAGAAGACGAAGAAGGCGGGAAAAGGAAAAGAAAAAACAGAGAGGAAAACTGTCAAAGCGGAGGAGAAGAAAGCTCGGAGAGAGACCAAGAAGCTCTCTCCCGAAGACGACATCGATGCCATTCTTGTAATTTCCTCTTGCTTTGTTTCCCGCATCGTCTTTCATCTCTTTAGCTGGTTTTGGTTATTCGACTCAAGTTTAGTGCCATCGATTCTGTGTTATGATGAAAATGGAATTTGATTTTTTTTCCTCTCTCCTGATCATCTAATGTTTGAAACAGTTGATTCTGAATTCGTATTTTCCAAACGTTCGAAAGAATTCGTATCTGAGTCTGACTTCAGATTTTGTGACTCTGCTTATTACCATACCTGCGCCCGAGCTTCAAAGTTTTACGCTTTGGCATCAGTGTGATGGATGGATTCCACTGTTCTTAGATTTACACTTGAATATTTTTTTCCGTATTGATCTTGTTCTATTTGTGTTCTTCAGGAACTTGTTTATAGCGAGTCAAATGGTTTGAAATTTTCCTCTCCTCTTGGTTGCTTTTTTATTTTGTATCTGTAGTGGAGTTTATAGGTTACAGAGAAACAGTGATGGAGATGAGATGATACGAGCCCATGAGGCGATTGCTCTTTCTGAATTATAAATTATTGTGTGAAAATTATAAAAGGGTATTGTATGTCGATACAGGGTACTCCATATAGCTTCCCTTTAGCACAAAGTTCCTAGGAAACACTTGTTAGGATCATTGTTTGGTTTGGTTAGAGATGGATTTGTTCTTGAAAAAGGCTAATTATCTATTAATCCATGTAATTATGTGTAATGGCTGCAAGTGATAGTCATAATATGAAGTTTTCTCTTTTCTGACATTACGCCTTTTTCCAGTTAAGCATCCAAAAAGAGGAGGCTAAGAAGAAGGAGGTCCACGTCGAGGAGAATGTTCCAGCACCATCCCCTAGGTCTAACTGCACGGTTAGGCTTGCTTATAGTTTTACTTTGTCTTTGATGATTGGAAACTGTGTTTCGGATTTGCAAATTGATACTGACTCTGGTATTATGTAGCTGACAATAAATCCCTTGAAAGAGACAGAGTTGATTCTCTATGGTGGTGAATTTTACAATGGCCATAAGGTTAGGCTTCAAAAGTGTATTTGTTCAATGATTTAGGGATATTGATTCTTCAAGTATTTTGTACATAACATTTTTCGGTATCAATGCAGACGTTTGTATATGGTGATCTCTACCGGTATGATGTGGATAAGCATGAATGGAAGTTGATTTCGAGTCCCAATAGTCCACCTCCTCGCAGTGCTCATCAAGCAGTTGCTTGGAAGAATTATCTCTACATCTTCGGTAGGAAAAAGATATTCCATTATTCCTAACTCAATACATCTTCATCCCTTTCCTGCCATATTTTTAAGTTTATCTCTTTCAATTAGGTGGTGAATTTACATCTCCAAATCAAGAGAGGTTTCATCATTACAAGGTGAGAAATTTTATTTTCTGTGCTTTGCCACACTTTTACTAGTATTTGTTTTTCCATGAATTTTATTTGGCTCCTGGCATTTTTTTTTGGTAGGATTTTTGGATGCTTGACCTCAAAACTAACCAATGGGAACAACTGAATTTGAAGGGATGTCCCAGTCCACGTTCTGGTCATCGCATGGTAAGTCTTTGGTCTATCGATAAGATTGTTAACAGCTAAATATTTATCTAACTTTTGTGACTTGTTATCTATTAAGATTTCGTGTTTGCCAAATAGTGAAATCCTACACTCTTTGCTGAAGGATGCAGATTGGTTTACTTTTTCCATCTTTTTTTTAATAGGTGGTGTAGATGGTTTTAGAAAGTCTTAGTTCATTCAGTAGTCTAGGATTGGTTCGTTAAGGCTGATCCATTGAGGTTTGAGTTTCTCTTAGCTAAGTTCTTCAGTGTTTCTAGTATATACATATGTATAGGGCCTGTTTGTACAAGGGGGAAATCACAATCTTAATGATTTTTACTACAAGCAGACCAACACATAATGAAAACAATTGGTAATTGGGGTTCCATCAATTATATATGTTTATTATACTTATGAGTTATCATATTAAGTAAGAGTTGGCAATTTATTTTTCCATATTTTTCTATTTTGAATTAATAAATTTTGTATTAACTATAGCTTTAAAAGTATAATATTTTTTGTACGCAAGAGATGAAAATCCGAAAGATATTGACCATATGGAGGATCAATCTCCTTATTTTGGTACTGATACATAGACTGGAAGCAAAGTTGGTGATAAATGGTTGAGTTGATGAATTCAGGACCTGGAGTCTGCAGACTAGAACCTTCAGCTGAGCACTGAAACACATTTTCTTTTGATGTTCAGCTGTGCAGCATTCTCTTATTCTGTTTTATTTATCTGTTTTGTAAGTTTATGCTAAATATCTGTTGCTCCAAAATGAATGATTTTGCCATACATTAAATCGCCAGGATTCTGATAAAAACCAGCAATTTCTGATTCTTACTCTCCAGCTGGCCTGCGGACCATGGAGATTCATTCCCACTTTTCTGGCAACTGACATTTGTTAATAAATTTTGGAGCTTAGTAATATTCTGTATCAGATTTTCACTTCATCCTCGCACTCGCAGTAGAACTCATTAATTTATATGACAACAAACATATGGTTCCAGTTTCTGTTAATCCATGTACTAAAGGAGAACCAGCTCACTTGCGCTGCTTGATTGTCAACATCTTCTGTGATGAACACATGATAATGTATTTTAAGATATGCTTGCTCAAGCTGACTGCAGAGTAGATTTGATTTGCATATAACTCTTGTTTCTTCTTTAGTATTGAGCTGTCTTATTCTGATACTGCTGTGCTCTTCGTTGCTTCTCCCAGGTACTGTACAAGCACAAGATTATCATTTTTGGTGGGTTTTACGACACGCTTCGTGAAGTAAGGTTGTAATAAGTCCTTGCATGCAAATAATTATTCTCTAATGTTTCTCGATTTTTTGCTTGCCAATTCTAAAAAAATAAGAATTTTAATGGTATCTTTGTTGGTAGATTTCTCCATTTTGTGATTCTTTCAGTGTCTATCTTTCTTTGTTTTTGGGCTATCTTATTTTCTGATAAGTCCGTTTGATTTAAGTTGAGCAATATTGAATTTTGAGAGTAGACAGTGTAATGCTTTCATAGCGGTCTTGTGGTGGGAGCTACATCCACAATGTTGTCACTGAACATATATTCAGCTTCAGCTTCGAGTTCTCTTTTTTGAATTTTTTTTTTGTGTGTTGAAATCATATAGAATTCGTTCTTGTTGAAAAATCAAAACATCTTCATAAGTCCTCGGTTAACATTTGTGGGTATCTATTGGTTGTTTGCAGGTATTACAATGATCTCTACGTGTTTGACCTGGATCAATACAAGGTGAGTCTGCCTTCCATTTCAGACTTTTCGTTCTGCTTTAAACTTTAAGATTTTATATTATTTTTCCCTTCATTGAAGATAGTCTGGTATTTCAATGATAGTGGCAAGAAATAAAGCCTACGCCCAGTGCGATGTGGCCAACTGCTAGGAGCGGTTTCCAGTTTTTTGTGTATCAAGATGAGGTTAGTCTGTGGAAACAGATGCTATATTATGCTCTTCCGAGTATAGAGACAGTAATCTTTTCTTGAAAAATTGCAACAGTATAAAGGACTGGAGGATATGCCTATGGTCTGAGCATGACCTTTTATTTATTGGAGTAATATTCATACTGCAGATATTCTTATATGGTGGCTATTCTAAAGAAGTTTCATCTGATAAGAACAACAGCTCTGAAAAAGGGATTGTTCATTCAGATTTATGGTCCCTTGATCCGAGGACATGGGAGTGGAACAAGGTTTGTAGATTGTGTGCACTTTTATCTTTAGCTGGCATCCCTTTAGTAGAGACTTAGTATATTATCTGATTCTGACATTCAGTGTGGTGTGATGAATTGAATTGCCGCTAAAACCATGAAGTTACATTTTGTCCAACGCGAGGAAGACCGGTCCCATATCACCTTTTGATAACTCGATCTTTTATAGCTGGAGATCTAATACCATGGTCTCCTTTTTTCTGTTATAATCTTTACTCCTTGTTTACCGCTGTTCTTTCTCTTCCCTGCAGGTGAAGAAAAGTGGGATGCCTCCTAGCTCTCGTGCAGGATTTACCATTTGTGTTCACAAAAAACGTGCTTTGCTATTTGGGGGTGTTGTAGACATGGAAATGGAAGGTTTGTAAAAAAAACTGGATTCATGATGCATACTCTGTTGCCGAGGCTGTCTGCTTGAGTTATTGACTTGCTGTAATTTCATCTGCAGGTGATGTAATGATGAGTTTATTCTTAAACGAACTCTATGGCTTCCAATTAGATAATCATCGATGGTAAGGATCCAACAATGCTATCACAAGTATTGAAGCAAGAGATTTGCCTTCCCAAGCACTCTTCGTTTTCTGGATTTACAGCTTTCAGCTTTAAGACATGAATCTGGCTATTAAAAATTGTTTCACGTTTCTAACTCTTGTATCACATGGACTGCAGGTACCCCATAGAGTTACGGAAAGAAAAATCTACAAAAGATAAGGTATGGTTATATCTACACAGATTTTTTTTAATTACTTGTAACTAAATAGATGGCTCTCATTTGTTTTGTCAGTTTTAGTTTATCTTTGTCCCGGGGAATTGTCTTTTTGGAAGCAGAAGAGTTTCAATTGAACTGTAATTCTTATTTCTGATATTTTACAGGCACGGAAGAATTCGGAGGCTAAGCATAATATCTCTAACAATGATGATGAGATGGATGCAATGGAAGAAGACGAATCAGCCGCAGATAAGACAGGCCCATCTGATGCGATATCTGATCGCATGGTAACCGATCTATCTATTGGTGAGTCTGATAGTAAAAGTAAGGTACCGCAGGAAGCGAAAGCTAGACTAGATCTGCAAGTTTCTGCCTCTCAAGAGGTTTGTTATCGCAAAATTTGTTAAGACATTCAAGATGAGTCGGGTACTTGTCCTTATGAGTCTTTGTGAATCTGATAGATACATGGAATCTCACAGGTTGTGAAACCATGCGGGCGGATAAATGCTTGCATGGTTGTCGGGAAGGATACTCTATACATATATGGTGGCATGATGGAGATAAGAGACAAAGAAATTACTCTTGATGATTTATATTCGCTTAACCTTAGCAAGCTCGATGAATGGAAGTGTATCATCCCGGTTTGTTCTATATCTTTCTCTGATTTGAATCCTTTTATGATATCATGTGGATAACGTGATTCTTTGTGTCTCCTGCAACACAGGCATCTGAACCCGAGTGGGTTGAAGCCTCAGAAGATGAAGAAGGGGATGAAGACGAGGATGAAGATGATAGTGAAGATGACGGAAACAGTGATGAATCTGACGATGAAGATGGCGACGATGATGACGAAGAAGAGGTACTGGCTTCTACCTTGTACATTTTGTGCTTACTCTTCTTTCGGGTTCATCAAATGTTTGTATTGTTTGTAATTTTAGGCTGTCAATGATGGCGACGAATCCGTGAAAGTAGGAGATGTCGTTGCTATGATAAAGGGCAAAGGAAAATCCCTCCGAAGAAAAGAGAAGCGAGCTCGGATAGATCAGATCAGAGCTAATTTAGGTCTTTCAGATTCACAGAGGACCCCGATGGTAATATCCGCTTCAACGGATTCCGAAATGATAATATTTTCATGAAAATGTTCATCTATCTCTACGTGAATCTCAACTGTTTTGTCTATATGAAGCCTGGAGAATCTTTAAGAGATTTCTATAAGCGAACAAATATGTACTGGCAAATGGCTGCATACGAGCATACCCAACACACTGGAAAGGTATGTGTTCTCTCTGATTCTCTTACACCGTTCTCCCCTTATTCTTTCGTAGATTCTTCTATCCGATCTTGCGGAATTTTTTGCATATTGTCCCTTGTGGTTTCGGGTCGGGTTGAACTTTAAGCCTTCTACCCTGTTTAGGGTAGAAAATCAGATTTGGATCTTCCTATAACACAAATGCACACTATCTTTAGCAAAGGATAACGGCTCAGTATCCCCAAGCATGTACACGGATATGATTAAGCCTCGTATCCGAAACATGTTCAACGTGCATTCCCTGGCCTGACTTTCGGAATCATATTTTGGTATGGACAGGAGCTGCGTAAGGATGGTTTTGATCTCGCAGAAGCTCGGTATCTGGAGCTTAAACCGATTCTAGACGAGGTCAATGTTCTGATTCAAATGTATATACCGATTTTTATCGATCCAAAAATCGGAATTTGATGTTTATATTGTTGGATGCATCTACAGTTGGCGATACTCGAGGCGGAGCAAAGGGCTGAAGAGGCAGAAGGACCCGAGACTAGCTCAAGAAAGAGAGGCAACGCGAAGAAGAAAAGATAAGATTCTTTCAAGCTGCTGCTTCTTTTTTTTTTTGTTGGAGTTGCATAAGAATCTTAATTTAATTTCTACACAATTTCGCAAACCGTGCAAGTCTACAACGAATCTTTACTTTGTATTGCATTGTTGTTCATTGCAAGGATCTTGATACATAGACAACCTGTGAAGGGAGAAACTCAAGTCTTGAATCTTGATCATGTCCAAAGTGGACAACTTATGGCAAGCAAAAATTACAAAATCAATTATGCAAAAGAGAGCAACTTTGGAGGAGAAAAAAAAATATTCGTACATTTTTAATAAAAAGAAAAGATTAAGCCGCAGAAAAATGATGAACTGTTCCTCAAGTTTGACCTTCCGTGCGACGCAAGCAAGGGAAAACCTAGTCTACTATGCGTACAATCGTCTAAGAGAAGTCCTTCTACGAGATTTTCGCTGCCTATCCGTGGCTGGAAAACGTCATACCATTCGTAAATAACGGCTCGGGTAAAAGTAAACAACGCGTCTAAGGGATTAAGTGGTAGTTTTGATTCGATGACATACCCGTCGGAAGTCTTCCGGACAGACGGAGAGCCTCTTCCGCAATAGGTCTCCATTGTTCTGCGCATGAGTAGTTAACCCCGAGCCCGACGCTGAGCCCTCTTAAGAGAAGTACAGTGCGAAGAACCGAGAACAGCTCCTCCGGAAATGCCTACCATGAATCACAACGTTCAGGTGGCATGGGTCGGGTTTCAAATTACTCAAACCTAAATCCGAACATCTCATGCCTCATGAGATATTTATCCGTTCTCGTATCTATGTTGATCGGATATCCGAAACCCCAGTTTAAATACGAATTGTATTTTTTTTCAAAATTTTTGAGTCGGGTTGGGTTGGGTACCCAAAATTTTCAAGTTACCAGAACTCAAACCCGAAATTTCAAGAGATTTCAGTACACCTGTATATAATATCTCTAAAACTTATTGACAAAAAATCATTTAACTGTTCGTTCGGATATCCACAGGTAATACCGGATCTCGGGCCCAATTACCCCAACCCAAACCTGATTTCTAGGTTTTTGTCATGCTACAACCCGATCTTATCCCATATAGTACTTGGCTGGGTACCCGAAATTCGGGATTTTTCTTCCTAAGCCTAGATACACCGACAGGAGGGTTCTCCCTAATGAGCAGTAACAGGTTAAATTTTCAAGTAGGGAACTTAGAAAGGCGAAAACTTGCTTACCTCGACAGCAATCTTTTTAATGGAAGATTCTTCCGAAAAGGGTTGCAGAGCTCGGACACCAGGAGGCATCTTCGTATCGAACATCGTTTGCGCTAACCTTAGAAGCTCTTGCTGTTCATTCTCGCGCTTGCAAAATGTACCTATACCTAGCTCCCTGAGTATCCACGACGGGAAAACCTAAGCAACTCGGTGATAAATTCACAAAACAAAGTGTCTATTCGAGATCAACAACAATGCTTCCTTGACATTTAGTTCGTTACTTTCACGGATAGGGTTCGTGCCTAAACATTTTATCTCAATGACCGATATATTTGCTACTAAGCATTATGGTTTCGACATAAGATCACGAAGGAATACATTAATGAAAATTTTGAATTACCGAAAGCTCTGTGATGCACGTAAAGGATCGTTATCAGCCATGGCAATGACGAGATTCGCATAACCAAGTCGTAAGTTGTCGGGCAGTTCCTTCACTTGCCCATAGTCCAGCAGGGCAACCTGCCAACGGGAAACAGAACAAGAACTCGAGCTATTAGACCAAGAAATCCCACCAAAAGAACCACTAAAGCAAACCATAGTAACTTGCCTCTGAACCTTTACAGATCAAGATATTTCCGGGATGCGGATCCGCATGAAAGAAGCCACTCTTCAGTATCATTTGACCGTATGCTCCGGATAAACTGTCAAGAATATTGCTGGGGGCGAAAGGACAACAAAAAATTCCAAAGTGGATTCGGAAAACGTTGAAAATGCAAGCGAACCAATTGACGATGCGAAAGAGCAAATGGGTTTCTAAAGCATGATAGCTATCGAGACAAGCTGCAAATATGGGCGAAAAAAATTAAATAAAATGAGGCACCATACTCTCTGAGATGATGTAGGAGCTTACTGCTTTGCTCTCTCTGCAAGCTTACCACGAGGATTTATCCCTCTCTTAGCCATTTCATCACCAAGGCTCAGGATCGGGGTTCCATTAATGTACTCCATTACCAATACCCTCCTGAAAATAACAAAATCGGAAATCTATAGCCAATGCTTATCCATTATGATCGGTACTCATTAGAAAACCGATAAATGTTACTAGAATGAGAAAATATGTGTCAACAGGTCAGAGGAACTAAAGACTAGGCTGTGAGTTAGGATAAATTCTAGAAAGATTTTACCATGGAAGCAAGTAAAAAACGTAAATACCTGGTCACCATATCTCGCAGCACCCTAGGAACCAAAACAGGGCTCTTTCTGTTGTTTTCATATAGAAAACGTCGAATCCTCTTCATTGCGTTAGCCTCTCTTGTGAAATCAAATTCATACCCAATCTTGACAGAGAAAAGAATTTCCAGTCACTTCGAGAATAAAAGCAGTTACCAAATACTTCACGAAGGACAAAGATCGATGAGTACCTGTGTCTCCATTTCCTTTGTTATCGAGTACAGGTCAAATTTGATATCTGTCTTTTGCATGTATAAGGCAAATACTTGCAAGTTTCTTATATCTGTCATCATCAATTTTTCAACACCAGGATGTTGAACCTAAACATATGGTTTTTTATGATCAGAAACCCATAGAAGACCGTGAAACTCTTGGTTGTTCCCTGATAATTCTCACCTTGACAACAACATCACTCTTGTCGCCCTTTAATCTTGCTCGGTGAACCTGAATAATGGCAATCAAGAGAAATGTTTCAGATTCATATACTCTTGTAATTTACTTATGAGAAGATTTTATGTCATGATCGATTTGGTTCTGCTTTCCATCAACGATATACGTCAAAGTCAACCACAAAGGCAAGAGCTCAAATCAGGAAAAAAAACAATGAACTATGAGTTTTTTCTATTAAACCTTGAAAAGTAAATGATTTATGTTAATTCAGTAAATCGAGTTGATTCCATATAACCTCAACATGACAAATGCCACTAGAGTTTCACGCCCAAAAGGAAACTATATACTAGGGATGTTTCATGGTAGGCTTGTCAGCAGGCTCCTAGAAAATCAAGAATCTTGATGTCATGAGACTTGAAACTGCAATTACTTAAGTGATTCTAGATTACTAAGAAGATAACATTATTGCCCATAAGCCTTTCAACATTTGAAGTTATGTAGCTTCCCCAAATGGCAAAAAGGATCATTCCCCTGAATTAGTCATATTTTAAGCTATTGTTTTAATAAAGGTTATATTTCTATACTCTCTCATCACCAATATCTTCTATTCTCCCTAAGTTGCCAAATAATTCCCTAATATTCAAGACTGAAATCAAAGATTACACTTTTCTGAAGCGAATCCCGTCATTTCATCAGTTATGGAACACACAAGCTGTGTACTTTGCCATTTTCACAATGTTCAAAAGTATTTTAGACATGTAAATTGCATACAAGATTTGCCTTGATACACAAAAGAGTTATAACCCCAAACAAACCCAGTGGAGAGACCAATGGCATGCTGCACAAATTACCTGAGCAATGGATGCAGATCCAAGAGGCTTCTCATCAAATCTTTCAAAGATTTCACCAATGCTTTTACCTAATTCCTTCTCTAGAACATCTTGAACTGCATTGAATTGTGTAGCAGGAGCTTGATCACACAATGTGACGAGCTTTCTCACCCACGCAGCTGGAGCCAGGTCCGGTTTCCCCACAATTTGTGCAATCTGTTTCCCAAAAGTTCATCACCACAAAACCACAATGGCACATCAAAAACCCATGAACACTCTTCTGAAACAGAAACCGCTCCATTCCATTTCACCATCCAACCGAGATTCAAAACCGGCAAAGAAGTGTAAAACCACAATACAGAACCCGAAAGGATTATCCTAAACTGTGACAACTCTCTCAACTCAGAAACACTATGATGAATACAAACAATAGCAGGTAGTGACTGATAACACCCACTTCCATTAACAAGTACGAAATCAGAACTTTGCCTTCCTCCTAAACCATATAAATGGCAAAATGCAAATCAAACAAGAAACTGACAAGAATTTCAAAAGTAATCAGCACAACCAAACGCATGAAACTTTACAGAAATCATATGTATGTACCTTAAGGAAGAACCCACCAAGGTCAGAGCACATAGCGTAAATTTTCTCAGCAGCAAACTCATGCTGTCGTTCCCACAATTCCTCCTGCTTCTTCGCATCCTTAACCAAACTCACCCGAAGTTGGAACACCTGAAAAATCCAAGCAAAATAGCTAAAACCCACTTCAAATTTCAACAGCAAAATCGTACAACGATTGCAGAAATCCACAAAAACACCAAAAAGTTTCCACCTTGTAGCCGGTGTAGATGTCGGCGGCGCGAACCCAGAACTGAACAGAGCGTTGCCACGGCCGAAAACCCTCTGAGAGCTTCTCCTGAATCTCTTTGAAATGGATGCCATGCATCTTAAACGGTGGAAATTTCTAACTTCTACGTCTGAAATGGAGGAGATTTCTGAGTGAATTTGGAAAATTGGAAAGGAATAATTTAGGCGTGGGCGATACAAACATAGTGAATTGGAAGAGATGATCTTATACGATATAAAAGGACAGAGAATTGTGGCTAAGAGAAGAAACCAGAGAAAGGACGAAAGGGGAGAGTTTGAAGTGGATGACGCTTTGCTTCCAAGGCTTGGAATATTAATTTATTAAAATCTTAATAAGGATATAAAAAAACTTTAAATACCATAAAAGTATTAATTTGCTAAATAAAAACAAGTTTTACCTTTAATTATTTTGGAAAAATCTCAAACAAAACATTCAATTTTTAAATTTTGATAAAAAAAAATACTAAACTTTTTATTTTATCAAATAAATATTAAATTTTTTAAGTTTGACAAAATAAATACTTAACTTTTCTGCTATTATTAAAATAAACAAAATAACTGATGTGACACAATGAGATGCAACACGTCAGATTATTTTACTTAATTTTTTTACAATCGAAAAAAAATTATATATTTTTTTAGATCACTAAAAAGTTTAATATTTTTTTGTAATCGCAGAAAAGTTTATGTATTTTGTGGATCATTTTAAAAATTCAATATTATTAGATTCATTTAAAAAATTTAATGTTTATCTGATAAAAAAAATAAAATTCGATGTTTTTTTGTCAAAAGTTTAGTGTTTTTTGGAGATTTTTTCAATTATTTTTATTGTATTGTTGTAGTAATGTATTTATAAAAAGGATGTTTTGAATATATATACACATATACATACAAATAATATATATATATGTATTATGTATATATAAGATTTTTTTTCGTTTTTTGGAATATTGACCTGGTAATGTGATGTGGGAAAATGTGTTGAAGTCGCCATAATTGGGATTGACAATCAACTTTCCAATAAATTAACGACGGAATCCAACATTTAAAGATGTTACTGAAAAATTGAAAATATTTTAAAAATTAATATATTGGTTTGAAAATTTGAAAATAGATAATGCATTTACTTCATAAATCGAAAATTTAGACATCTGTATGGATGCAATTCTGAAGAATTTGACACATTCTAAAACATATAACATAGGAATTTTTTTATGACATCTTTTCTATTGTCATACTCATGGTGAAGCATAAAACAGTTTGCCTGCGTATAGTTGCGGAAGTGGTGGTCGTAACGAAACTTTTGAACGTACAAACAGAACCTAAAACGACGTCGAATCATAACCAATCTTTCAGGTAAAAACCAGAACACGAACCAGAGAATCTAACCTCAATAAAACAAAGGGCAGGCATCCCTCAAATTTCCCAGTTTTTCCACCCGAAATCAGAAAATTCTACAGTCGATGCTCAGAGATCGATGACACGAGAGAGCTTCTGGATTCGGTTAAGAAGGAAGTCACCCTGCTTGATGGTCGCCTGGTAGAGTGCGTTCTTCGCGTCGGGACGGTTAGTCTCCAAAACACCTGCAACCTTATCGATCTTGCAGTGAAGCTTTCCCGCCGCTATGAAACGTGACAGCTCCCTGTAGAGTAAACGTTCGGAAATATGGGTCAAACTTTTTCACCTCTAGTACCCGAAAGTTGAAACCTAAGCTAGTGCTGACCAATTTGGTTAATAATTGAATAACCCAACTCATTCAAACCGAATAACAGTTAACAGATAACCGTAACTGAACCAAATCCGATATAAAAACTATGATTTCTCTAAACTGAATAAAAAGTAACCCAAAAACCGAAAATTGTGTATTTTTATCAATAAAAACAGAATCCGAACCGAAGCGAATTCGATTTAAAAACCAAACACTGATCAATCAAAGACAGATTCAACAGAAAGATCGATCCATTGGGATCCCTCCTTTCTTTTTTTTTTTAAAAAAAAGCAATTCCTTATGTCATGTATCCACGATTAATGCAGCCTTAGATGCTTCAATGGTTATACTTTTTCTGAAACCGAAATTAACCGAACCCGAGATGGCCACCCATACCGAAGACAAAAAAGAAAGGATCCGAAGGTTATATACTTACAGGTCGATGAAATCCACTGTCACACCAAATGCCCTTGCCATGGCGTCGATCGTGACGCTCTTATATGATTCCAAGAACTGTGAATACACGACAGTTCTGACTTCCCTCATATAAAACCGGAAGTGCGGGTGCAGGTACCGATCAAACTTTATCTGCTCCGCAAGCCCAGCTGAGAACAAATCAAGAAAACACAACTATGAGCATGCAAAATGGATCTATTCGCTGCTCTTTACTAAGCTACAATGTTTAAAACAGCTACCGAAACTATTTTCAGACAGACAAGTAGCAGATGGAACTATGTAAAAACTCAGTTTGACAATGTTAAAACATAGGTATTAACATAGTTTTCAGGCTACTCGTGAGTGATCTATGTTTACGGTTTTTCAGAAAAAGAAAAAGAAAAATCTTTTGAAAACATATTTGACGCAGCATTAAGAATATTTCATAAATTCAATCATAAAATATATTAAAAACGTTAAGAGTTTGTAACAAGTGACTCATTTTGTGGACTCACCAAATGCTGAGAAAAATGCCTTGTATTGACAGCCATACAGGGAGTTCAGAAACTCCGAGAGGAATGGAATCTTTCCTATCACTGTTAAGATCTCAGGAGCATCAACCACCTGCAAAATTAGTAGCAAATTACCATTCCACTCAACAGATTAACATCAGCAGATAATAATAATTTCGTAAATTTTAATGCGCTAATGAAAATGGAGTTTATCAAATTCAAATTTAGAACACTTTGGTACTGAAATATACATACCTTTTGTTTAAGAGAGACTCTGTCCAAAGATATGATGCTTGTAAGGACAGTGTAAAACACGAAGGTGTCATATGTGAAAAGTTCATAAGTGGTAAAGGTAGAGATCGAATCCAGAAACAAGCTAGCCGCCTTCTTGAAGTTTCTAGTGGACATGGAGTACAAGCCCTCATACACCTTCAATCTGTTCTTCCTTTCCCAGTCACCACCCTCTTCAAACAAGCTAGCATCAGAAAACAGGCAGGGTTAAATCAAAGATTTCCATAGTCATGCTTTTTTTAAGAAGGGCGAAAAAAAATTGCATACTTCTTTGCTTTATCGATGCTCTTCGATATAAGATCAAAGTCCATGTAGAAAAAACCAATCTGCAATGTATAGAACACTAAGTCCATCTTTTGCCCAACAGCCACAGTCTTGCCTTCCGTGACTTTGAGTTGCTCCAAAGCTTTCTCCTGAGGACACATAGGGTGAAAGTTTAATGGCTGAGAATGTGTTAGAAAAAATATAGTTCTTTATGGTGATGTACTCATTATGTACCTTGTCACTTATCCTGATGTAATACAAAGCCTTAGCAAGATGAGCTTCACGGACTTCACTTTCGCCAAGGTTTTCTTCTGCATCTGCAATCCTAAAGAAGAGAAAGAGCCACGAAAGAATAAACATCTAAACAGAATGTTTATGTAAATATTTATGGATAAGAGAGAGGTTTAACATAGCAAACCCAAAGCCTAAAGGTTTTATATGACAATCAATTTAAGCAAGTTCATCAATAAAAAGCTTGTGCATAAGAATAATTAGTCAACAACGTGGGAGATACATAGAGCATGACATATTGTACACAGGAATACGAGAGTTGAGGATTTGATACTCAGATTAAAGCAAACACCTAACGGAGTAAGACAATTCAATGGATTTGATTTCGAGAAATAAGGACATTTGAAATGCAGCATCATCATACTATTAATCCAACTCAGGATGCAGTATTACCATATGAAATGATGATAAGCTTCAAACATAACCACATCAAATTTTGAAGAAGCATCCTATTGCTCTTGATTGAAAACATAATCAGATCAGAATTTTGAAGAAAACTTAAGGGGAGTACCTAGAAGAACTCAAAAACTTAAGTTAGAGGAGAGCCCAAGACAGCTAGGTTAGTTCTATGGAAACTAAGAGAACATGCTATAATCAACAAACTCCTGAATAAGAAATCCAGAAGCTTAACCCCATCACTCAAAACAGTTGCATCCAGTTGTACACAAATAAATGATTCTCGATTCTCAAAAAGGAAGAGAAGATATCCCAAAAATGCTGTAATCAGCCTCCTAATTCACATGTTAGTCAATTCTGAAACGCCGAATTCAGGATCCAATTCATCATGCTATGGGCATTTCCCAAACATCAGTTCTAAACTGACATAAATGGATGCAAGCATCCGAATTTAAGAGGCAAAACCAATTATAATATACAACTGCAAGTCCTGCAATTTGCACTACCAGTGAAAATCCAGCTTCTAATATTCGAAATCTATCATTTTGGACCAACCAAGCCAGCTGAATGAAGACTCGAATCTTTCAATGCAAAACCCAGGAAAAAAACTAGCTCGAATTCGGGGGGAAAAGACCTACTTCTCATCGAACTTCTTAAGCTCCTCCTCGTTCTTCGCCCGCATAGAATCCAATAAGCTCTGATCCAAATCCAGCACGGAAGAAGCCGCTAGGGTTTGGTATAACGGAGCCATATCTACAAAACAAAAAAAAAACCCCACAAATAACATCAGAAACAGCGGAAACCGACAGAATCTCGAGGATCTCATACAATGTTAAACTCATGTTTCATCGAAGGGAGGAACCGATTCACTTAACCGTCGGCTTTGATCGAAGATAAGACCTCGTCCTTGAGCCGGACCTTCTCGATGTCCTGCACATCGGGGTGAGTAAGAAGGAATAGCGTGTGAGCAAGAACGAGGTGAGGCTGCTGAGTTCCTTCTCCACCACCATCCATGGCTGCAACTCGCTGAGTCAGGCGACCGTCTGAGAGAGAATGAAAGGAGAGAAGTTTGCTTGAGGGAGGAGGAAGAGACCAGAGCTTCCGCTACGCTGATCTTTTAACATATACGGTTTTGGACCTCAACCCAAACCGAACCGAACAACCACAACCGGTTTGGTTGGATTGAACCAAACCAATTTGACCTGCTCTCGAAAATTTCCATATAAACTCATTAACTATATTAAAATCTGCAAATTTTTTAAATTCTGCATCCCAATCGTGAATTTTTTTTTCAGATAAAATATGAAAATTTTAAAATGTTGCCACTTTTTCCATATTCTCGGTAACACCACCGAGAAAAACAGACCACAGAAATTGGTATAAAAAATAATGGTATGATTTGTTGTTGTTGTTTTTTTGGTTTTATTTATTTTATAGAGAATTTAACGTACCAAAATTCAACAAAATAAATTATTTAAAGCTCTAACAAAAGCTTAATCAAATTCAACAAACAAAGAAAAAGAAATAAAGGATTCATGGGATCGGAGATCAAAGTTTGAAACTTTATTATTATAATATATATATACATATGTATATGTGTGTATATATTGATTGGATGGACATAGAAACTGGAACGTACAAACAGACAAAAACTTAGCAAAACCATAAGGTGTTCCACTTTGATCTACAAGACAGATCCCCATATTTGTCTTACAAAATTAGATTTATTTATTTTTATGTATCAAATTAAATTAAAATTTTGAAAATATTCATTTGAATGTTAATATATATATATATATATATATATGTATGTCTTCGATTCTTGAAACAGCTCGACATTTCAAAATCCTTCGTTTGAAATGTTGAACCAAACGCTCCTTCTCTAGCTCCTCCTATGCCTCCTTCGTCCTTTAATGGCGACTTCTGCTTTCAGTTCAGCCACCAAACGAGCCACGCCACTGCCCAAAACCTCCACCAGTGGCGACGACGGAGAATCTTCTTCCTCCGCCCGGATGTCCGCTCAGAGGAGGCACCGGAGCTTGAGCCGATTCTCTCACCGTCGCATGCCGGATCGGGACGTCGGAATCACGACGGCTAGGAAGGGGAAGTTCGTCAACACTGTTCGGGGCTCTGGGTCGCCTGAGATTAGCCTCGACGACTTAGCCGTGGAGTTCTTCGACTCGTTATCCGCCGATAGTAGTGGAATCAGCAGCACAGAGAAAGGACGACCTGGGTCGAGGAAATTCAGCGGCAGAAGCGACGGAGACACAACGGTGTCGCAGAGGCGGGGGCGGTCTGTGTCTAGGGCTTTTCTCGGAGGCGGTGGCGGCGCAGTAGTACGGAGGCTGACGGCGGATACAGAGAGCTCGATGCGGCGGCGATCGGTTTCAAGACAGTCTGCGAGGGGCAATGCCGGCGATCATGGCGGCGCAGGAAGCGCAAATTCACGGCGGCGACGGTCGCTCTCTGTTGTCCGGTGCCGGATTAGCGATTCCGAGGTGAAGAATGCCAAAATTGCTTCTAGAATTCTCTGTGAATCAATATCTATGCCCTACCGTTTGATGTGATATTTGTCTTGCTTTTGAAGTTGATGATGGCACAATCAAAAGCGATGAACTTTTACAGTCCCAAAAGTAACTTTCATTCCCAAAATTAGGATTATGATTTGGAATATTGGATTCACTTAGGTTAATGGGTCACTGTGTATGATATTAGCCAATGGGAGAACTCTCTCTAGCTACGGATCTTGCTTGTATACATCCGGGTTTTGCTTTTAGATTTGTCCTCTCATTCTCTACATGTTATATCATCTTGTTGTCGTGATATACCATATGCTGTCTGAATAGCAGAACCAGTGGCATAATAAGGCTTGATCTTGCAACCGGCATCTCCTTTTCTCATCCTTTATCAGTATGAATAGTGTATATCAATTTCAGAGTATGGTATTGTTCTTGTCAAAAGGATTTGGCTTGTTGATATGGTTTGGCATATATCTGGATCTGGATTAGATTCGTTGCGAACTGGAGACTAGAAAGTGCCTTGAATTGACAAGTATTTGTGGATCTTCTGAACCCACAGAGCGATTTCGATCAATTTCAGAGTTCAAGCAATGGAGGAAACTTGAAGAATTCCGTCAACGGAAATGGTCAGATTACTGGATCTCATTACAAGCCAGTTGTTTCGGCTCTCAGACCGGTTTTAAGGAGGTCTTTTAGCCAAAACGAAATCAAGTACCATGATGGCTACTCTGTAAGAGTTACATACCGTGGTTCTTTCTAGCCGATGATTTCATCTCGCCTAACTCAATATAACAATATACAGAATTCATTCTATCACGTTTCTCTTTGGAACTGATGGTGAAAACACTTTCGTGGATGTTTCAGAGCCATTCTTCAGCTATCACAATCACAGACGATGAAGGAAAGGACGCACGTTCTGGAAAGCATGGAGGTGAAAGGATAATCAGAGCGGTATATACGCAGAATAAGGTTCGTGTTTCTTATGAAATTAAGTAAAGAAATTTATGCCGCAAATGATTTCAATCGAAGGACTATCTTTTATTCCATGGCTCTTTGCTTTATTGGGGAGATCTGATTCGAGATTAATTACAATATTCATCGTGAAGCCACCGGGAAAGAACTTATAAATGCTGTAGAAGAGATTAGGACAGAATTTGAACAAATGCATCTTATGTTCCATTGATTCAAGTTATACATTCTGTCCTGGAACATGTCTCTTTTTAACACGACAGATTTTGTTATGTTAATACAGGCAACCACCAAAACAAGGAAATCATTGGGTGGCAGTGATGCCGACCATGATATCGCCTCGATTACAAAAGATTATGCAACAAAATTACAAGAGGTTACTATATGCTTCGTGTATTATTAGTTAGATGGTTTCTCTTATCAAGGAACATTTCATGCATCATGCCTTCTTATCATTTATCACCAGTCTGAGGAGCGGAAGAGGGATTTGCTAGCCGAGATTTTGTTGGAGGATCAGCGTGGTAAGGAGCTCTCGAAGATTGTAAAAGGATTACTTACCGAAAGTAGCTCTGAAGTTAGCCAAAAGCCTTCACGGGCACGCAAGGTGTGTTTTCCGAATGCCCTGGGCAAAACTCCTCATTGTCTTTTCACTCTTTTCGTTAACGATTGGGGTTTACAGAGGAGCAAGGACAGGAGCAGGATATCGACGTGCTTAACTGATGAGGCAGAGAAACACATCGAAGAGTTCATTTCAAACATCGAAGACACAGATTTCTCATCTCCGGATGATGAAAGGAGCGAGACAAGTTCGAGTTTCGGCATTATAAAAACGGATAGTGGAGTTGTTCCCAAGTTTGCCCGTGTCGAGATGGATGGCATTATTCTCCCATGGCTGCAATGGGAAACTTCGACCGATTCTCCTCCGCTCCCATACCTAAGCAAGTCAATACACACACCAATCACAAGATCTAAGATCTGGGTATCTGGTTCGATTCAGGTAATGCGATGATTACGCTTACATGCTCGGATACTTTAATTAGACATTAGCATTATGGGTTCTAATCTCAAGCTCCCGACCATGTTCCCGCTATATCCCGTCCCTTATCTTTGCGTTCCCTTGTAGGATGATACGACTTCTGTGCACGAGACGAGCATCCGTTCCACCAGCAGCAGTAGAGGAAGCTCGAGTCCCGCAAAACCTTCCGACCCGGGAATCACCCGAGGGAAAGTATCATCATCAAGCGGGCTGAGGAAACTAAAGATAGATGTTTCGGATTATCTGAAACGAAAAGGCGAGGCGGGTTTTCTATACGAATCATGGAAGCTTAGGCACAGAACGGATTCAGGAAGTCTTGTGCTTTGTAGCCGTTTATTGATTTAGCTTTACAATGCAAAACTCGGATTTTTTTTTTTTAATCCTCAATGCATTTAGACAGGAGACAATGGCTATAAATTGTACAGATAATTTTTATGGTCGGCTCGAATTAGTTGTGTGTCAGTGTGTGTGGGCACGCTCTGCGCATTTATCACTGAATAAAGGCCCATTTCATAAAGGCTTCATCTTGTTCTTAAACTTTTTTTCTAGGTTTTTTTAAAAAAAAATAGGAAGAAATACTTGTTTCTACTTTCTAGGATTTAGTATAATACTGTATTCTAAGAATCTAGCTTTTGCTCTTAAAACTTTTTTTTCATATATCTTAATATTTAGAATACATCTCTTTAATACAAATAGAAATGGAGTTGATGGTAGCACAAACTAAACTAAAATATTTGCCAATAATTGATGGACAATATATAAATTACTTGTTATTAGATTTTAAATTTTTCATGGAAAATAAATAAATAAATAAATAAATATATATATATATAATGTATCAGAGGGCATACGATCTCATGCCTCGCACTCTACATGCATCCAAGTCACCGGCAATGGCGATCTCCTGATTCAACCCTTTAGAATATGAGTTTTCTTTGAACCTTTAGAATATGAGTTTTCTTTGAAACAAATGGTCATTGTGGTTCCCTCCGTTATTAAAAAAAAAAGTGTGACATTAACAGCGCGACCATTTCATTACCAACATAAAATAACGTAGGTTTGGTTAGAGAAACCCGAATAAAAAGCACAATGCTCTCTAACAAAGACACAGGTTGTGTGGTGTGACCCGGTAACCTATTCTCTTTAAGATACATTCGTTTACCGATTTTGATTAAGTAAACTATCATGTACCAAACTTGTTTTAGTAAATAAAAATAAAATAATAATGATATTAGACGATTATATTCACCCAAGTTGAATCATTTGCAGCCATTTAATATTAGATGAGTTGAATAAATATACCACCCTATCAATGTCCAACATGTACGTACATATATGTATATACACACCCACCCTCACGCCATCCAAGGGCCTAATCTACTCGAGAGTACATATAACATATATACACACCATGTACATGCATTTATATATTCACGGTCCAAATGCAATTGCTTGATTTATCCAAAATATAATTAAACATACTGGAGAATCACGATTCCGTCGCCTTCAAACCAAGAGACAAAAAAAGGAATTTTTACAAAATACGAAAAATAAACGCTAAACTTAAAAACTAAAACAAAGGAGAAAATAAAAATACCAAAACAGAAAAACATAAAACATATAAATATATACACTTCTAAGACCTGCATGTCCAACCAACGCTAACGACGTTAACCTCACCGTCCGAGGCATAACGCGGCGTTAACGTCCAGCCGCCATGCGAATCTACCGCCGTTCATCCTCCAAACGTCACAAGGCGAAGTGATGATCGAACACTTTTCCCTGTTACGACCACACGTGTACTGCAAACGCACTCTGCACGTAAACGCTGGGTGCGTCAGCAGCGGCCTCTCCTTCATAACCAACAGCACCGTTATCTCGGCGTTACGGTCGCCTTTATTCCTCATAACCAGATCCCTGTACGGACCATTCGTCCACGTTACTCTCCCTAGACCGTCCGATATGAAACCTGGACACGTGTCCTTTTCTAGATTCATCTTCCTCTCCTCGTCCGTACACCCTAGCTCGTACTGTCCCTCCACCCACGTGTCCGTTATACACTCTACCGTCACGCACGACGTAACGGTTTCCGTCGGAGCTGACGGCGCCGTCGCCGTTTGATAACATCCGTCAGATCTGCCGCCCCCGAAGCTCAGCCAAAAAGGGGTAGTACTTAACTGAAAATTTAAAACGCTGACCGTTTCCGGCGCCGGTGAATCCTTCTTTTCCGGAATCTCCGGCAGCAGCGGAAGCGTCACCACATCCGTTGTCGTTCCTCGACCGCATCTGCCGTTCGATCCACCATCCTTCGGCTTTTCTCTTCGCCGTTTGTTGCACCGTTTGCCGTTACCGTTACTATTCGCAGATCCACTACTGTTACTGCCCTCCTTCGTGACTTTCCGCCTTCCACGTCCAGATTTCGAAGAAACTTTCGCCGATACATTTTTATCCGGCGGCGTAGTCGATCCTCCAACCGCCGGTCTCGGCGCAATCGGGCGGAACCGGAGCATGATCCGATCCACCTTAGACATATCGTACGCCCCTCCGCCGTACCTCGCTATACAACAACCCCCGCGGAAATTCATCTCTCTTCTCTCTCTCTCTCTATCTTTCTCTAGAAAAACCCTAAAACACTCTCCCTCTCTCTCGAGCAACCCTAACGTCGCCGTTAATGGTGGGGCGATACGAAGCGTGGGAGCGAGGAAGGTGTTGGTTATAAAGGAACTGTTGTCTCGACACGTGTCAGCACTTGCCACGTGCGAAACCGAAGGGTGAACAGCGCAGCGACGGGATTGGTCAAGGAGAGGAGACGTGGCGTTTTGCTGTCAGAGTGGGGCCTACAAGCGGCAGACGCTATTCTCGAGAGCGTGCGGGCCAATCGCCGAACTGGAAGTGTCGTGAGTTTGTGCGGTGCGATGATATGATGACACGTGGAATCACTTAGGGTTGCGTGCACAATATGGCGACAGTTGTGGTTGGGGATGGACTAGACTGGCGAACACGTGGACCAGTAAGATTCGGTCTTTGTACGTTTCGAAAATATTAATTAGATCATGTTTCCATTATTAGGATTTTAGACCGGGCGAGATATTGCCACGTGGACCGGAAGGTGGCCTCTAGAAGATATTTGTATATTTATTTATATAATGATTTGAAAAAATATTAAAAAATTCAACCTGCAACAAAGTACCTTCAGTATAATTATATGTTTTTTTTGTTTTTTTTTTGTTAAAATGTTTTTTATTTTATTTTATTTTATGAATGAGTGTGTAAATTTTTTTAATTTGTGTTTGATAAGATTTGCTTTTGTAGAACAGAGAACCAGAGTTTGAAAGTGCCAAACCATCACCGCGCAAGTATTGATGGGAATATATTATGTTGGAAATCGTATAAATGAATAATTTCACAAAAGTTTTTTACGACTTAAAACTACTTATTTTAAATTGTTTATACGTTAAATTTGTAAATGTTTTACAAAGTACATATTATTCCATAGATAATTGTATTATAAATAAATTAGAAAATTATTATATTTTAATATACTATTTTTTTCAAATAAAAATCTTATTGATCGGCGGGTTATAACATTCAAAGTAATCACCAATACTATTTGAAATATTCCTCATCCATTTTTATTTAAGGTGTTCGAAAAAACCAATCCAATTTTGTATAGAAAATTTAGTGAAAATATGATAGAGATATAATTTATATAAATTTTAATTATATAACAGAAAAGATATATATTATTTCAATCTCATATAAATTAAAAACAAAAATAATGATTTTTAATTACAATTAGTCGATAACTTTTTATAATAAACTTAAAGTATAAAATTTTGTTTAAACGAAATAGTTAAAGAATTTTTTAAGTTTATCCCATACTTAACTTATGTAATTTTTGTATAATCGATTAAATAGTTTATGTATAAAAAAAACCTTTCATGTTAAAGAAATTTTCATAACAAATCCTGCAATTAGAATTTCATATATATCCGAAAGAAATAAAGAAGGAAATTTTCTTGCAATTTCTTAGTCGTAAATTCTTCCAACGTGCACCAGTGCTTTTCTAGCTTTGTTCTCACCATGTGAAGTGCCGCAAAGTTACATTGCTCCTCAAATTTCTATCTATCTATCTATCCCTATATATATATATATATATATATTAATAAAAAATCTTATCACATAATAAAGGACAAAAATACGTTAGAGAAGAATAAATGTTTTATAAATTAGTATATATAGTTTTGTCACAAAGAACACTCATATGATCCAAAATCAGAATTCCATGTGCCTCGGCTATGAATAGATAACGAATGATCCCATATTTTGCAAAAATCTCAAAACGCAAAGAGTTTATAAAGCAAATTTAATCAATTGATGATATATAATATATTTTGAAGCATGGATTGAAACCATCGAGATCCTAATTGTCTGTATACATGCGTCATACTCTTTAATAATTTCGATTTATTTGGATTTCTTGATTAAACTTTTTGATAATTACTATTTATTTTGATCACATATCTATTAACGGTTTACGTTACTATTTTTGTGAATTAAAATTTTCTGTGTCATCTGTTCTTATACCTTTGTAAACGGTCTATCTCCATATTCTCGCATAGAAAATATCGAGAGGTAAATTAAATAATTATAGGATATTGATTTTTTTTTATCTTTAAATTATTTACAATATTTACTTGTCTTTAATCTTTAAAGATTAAACAAACACCCAGAATATATTAATATGATTAAAACGCATAGCTACTTAGTTTTTGTGTATTTTTATTATACAATAAATATCACATTTAGAATGAACTCTATATCGCACGCAACTATATATAGTAATCCACATATGTATATATATAGAATAATAACGCACATAAATAGATGACACATGACACAGAGACGTAAGCATGGTTCTTTTCAGGAGAAACGAGAGGGGCAGAATAGTCATTCTAGGTTGTCTTGTAAGTGAAGTGAAAGAATCTCCGTGAAATATGATTGGCGTTGTTTCGCCATGCAGCTGTCGTAGATTTTTTCTTCTTCTTCTTTTTATATGATTAAAAGAAAGGGCCTATTTTTAAGCAAAAAATGATGGAAAATTTTATACTTTTGAGGACCCTTATCTGATTAATACTTTATATTATATATATATATATATAAATATAGTAATATTTGATAAAAAAAATGAACAATGAGTTATCGTAAGAATTTAAAATTATTAGAATAACAAGATTTATAAAAATATATTACGCTAGGTCGAACTTTGACCTAGTACTGTATGACGATAACTATGAAGTTATAATCAATTTTGATGCCTTCCTCAACATATATATAGTAGCAAAATATTGTGCTTCCGGACCCAGGAGATATAGGTTGGGCCGAAGGTCCAGGTGAACCTCTCCATTAACCAAAAAAAAAATTCATGTGCAACTAATCAAGAGAAAATTAATTCACTTGTGAGAAAGAAATGAGAAGATTATTCAAAATTTCAAAGTTAGAGGGTCGTAATCGTTGGTCATGTATATGTATAATTGAACCTTCTGTTTTAATTTACATTAATTTCGAATATTTGTTAGTGCACATATATATGTGTTGCACAGATTACCATTTTTTAATCTTTTATATATTTATACCCCTAATCCATCATTCATGCATATATAGAACATGTTTAATTCCATTCATCCATCGTTGTTTTTTTCTTTGATAAAACGTTTTTGCATTATTTTCCAAAATGATTAATTCCAATATTATATTGTTAGGATCAAGATTGATGGTGAAATACTTCACCTTAATTATATAAACACTTTTTTTTATAATCTTACTTATATAAACACTTATGATCAAATATCTTTCCGTTCATGTTTTTCCATATCGATTAATGGTTGTGTAATGAGATCCTACAATGGTAAATCCAACTCTCTCACCACCAAGTTATCCTCCATTCTATCATTGCTATAATATAAAAAAGATTAAAATAATTATATTATGAAAAATATTAAAACATTGATCTAAATTATGGTAATTTTAAAAATTATAAATATATCAAACTAATTTAAATATATTAGTTGCTTATTATTTATTTTTTAGTTTTACTAAATAAAAAATATGTAACAAATTTAATTGATAAAAAGACAATAATTTAAAATACTACTCCCTTCGTTTCTAAATAATTTTCATTTTAGAATTTTTCACACTTTTTAAGAAACTATAAAAAAAAAAGTCTTCCATACCCTTATTTAATATAGACTTAATAATAAAAACTACATAATTGTTAAAAATTTATTGGAATTATAGTAGTTTTAATGAAGGATAAAATTGGGAAACATTTTATAAAATTACCTAGTAAAATGAAAACGATATTTATTTAGAAACAAAATTAACTATTTAATTCATACAAAAAAAATTAACTATTTAAAAGGTCAATTGACAAAATTTATTATTTCGGGAGATGTGATAAGATGCGTAAAGTTTATACGAATTAGAATCTGCCACCTATCAGCCGCAAATCTACTAAATGCGCATCAAAACGTGACATGAAAACAGCATATATATATACTATATATATGTATATATTGTCATATTGTTGACAAGAATTTATATCTATAATATACACATTAAATCTATGCATTACTTCGCATGCGCATGTATTTTTTATAACAAAAAAAAGTCTGTATTGAACATTATCCATAACTTCTCAAGCCAACTGAATCCAGCAAGAAGAAAAACTAGATCCAAATACCATAATGGAGGGAACCCTAATCATCATATGGCATTATAAGATTCGATGCACATGACATGACTCTCTCTTTTAACCAAAAAAAGACATGACTCTCTCTATATATGTATATATATTCGTGCATGTTTACCTCCATTAGACAATATTAATTTAGTTTTGTTAAAAAGATACACATAAAATAATAAGATTTAAACGCCAACATAATTAAAATGGGTAATTAAGTAGCCAATCTTGGTTTATTGTCCCCGAAAACCATCGAATGAATGACCACTTTTTTTTCCCTTAAAAGTAGTCATGCCATTTTTATTAAAGAGATTAAGACAATAAATTAGGGTTTAGGCCTTAGGGTTATGGAAGGAGACAAGATGGTGTCAAGTTGAGTTACGTATGATACTATAAAAAAATTCACTATTACCAAGAAGGGCAAGTTTCCCTTTATTCTTTCGAGGTGACAAAATCGCCGGTTGTAAACAGATCTTTGAACATAATCGTTTGATCATAAATCATCCCATATATATAGAGCAATTTATGGAATGAAAACTGATAATTCAAAACTTACCCTAATTAATACAAGTATGAGCGAGACAACTAGTTATAAGAGAGAAATAGGCAAAAGAAGAAAAGAGAACACCCAACATGGGGTGGTCGTGGTTGGCATGTGGTGTCTTTGCATGGCAAGTCAAGTGTTCGATTCTTCACAGCGGAGAAAGACGTAATTTCTGGATCAAAAAGACTATATACAAAGATTGATTTTGGACCAATAAATTTATCTAATCAGTGCATCCGAAAGATAACAGTTAGGGTTTCCCGTTATCACAAAAAGAAAAAAAAACTTAAACAATAAAACTTTAATATCTAAATGTATAATAAAGGTAAAAGTTATACAAAAATTCTAATAACACTACAAAACAAATTCCAATAGATTTATCCGTTGAAAATATCCGAAAATCCGTTAGAAATCAGGTTTTCAACTGATTTTTAACGAATAAATCCGTTAGAATAAACTCTTTGAAAAATTCCGTCCGTTGAAAATTTCAACGAATATAATATAAAACACAGTGATAATAGTATTACATACTATAATATATTTTCCACAAGCAACGAATCTTAAGTTTTCTAACTAGAGGCGAAACATGATATATGTATCTATGAAAATGGTCCTTATATTTTTTTTGGGTATGTAATGAGCAAAAACATGTTAAAAATGGAGGCAATAATATATATTACTCCAAGCCATCTTATAAATGTTTATAATATAAAATAATGGGCATTTGACTCATGTTGCTTCCTTTGGACATGTAATCTTCTAGAACCTCCACGATTTTCAATTTTCCATATATATTTATAGTAAGACTATATAGTCCAATATTCAAATAATTTTGATCAATAAAAATTATAAATTTATATAACAAAAATTATAATATTAAATCAAAATTTAAAATTTTCAAATATTATATTATTTTGAATAATATTAAAACGTATAATATTTTAATTTAATAAATATACAAAAATAAAATATCTCGAAATAAAATTCTTAAATAAATATTGTCCGAAATAAAAAAAAACAATAGAAAATTAAAACAATAAGAACAAAGTGTTTATGTAATGTAAATTTAAATAATATCTCGAAACTTTTGTAGTTGTAACGATTATTGGTATATTTATTTATTTTTATTTAAATATTTTTTATATTTTATTTAATAATAAATACCTTCTATTGAAAAACAGATCCATTGATATTCACCATTATTAATAATTACTTTTAATCATTATAGTTTTTAATAATTGTATATTATTAATAATATTTTTAAAAATTATCATCATAATTAAATTATGATCTTTTAAAAATTATAAACTGTATATATTATAAAATAATAGTATATATTGGAATGTCAATTTTATTCTTTTCAATTATGGTTTCCACCTTCGCGTATGATCATTTGAAACTTAAAATGGGGAAAAATCAATATTCAGACAAGTAGTGTATATAGTAGTGGATTTAGAAGAAAAAAAAATATAATCAGGGTAAACTTAATTTTACTATAAAAAAAATTTAATTTTACTAGGGTATTTGGCAATTCAAAATTTATAAGAAAAACTAAACTTTTTTAATTAATAAATGGACCTGTATTGCATTCATTTACAAGTGGTCATACATATATATATATATATATATGAATGAAAAGTTTATTCTCTTTCCAGTATAGTTTCCACCTCTTGATATGATCATTTGAAAGTGAAAACCCGAAACAAATCACATTCAGACAAGTATCTTACTTGCCTTTATTTCCACCATCCATCCACACGTCTTTCGCACCTTTATTTCCATTTTCTTTTTTATATATATATAATTTCAAAGTTTACTAAAATTTTGACCCAATTATATTTTTTAGAAAAACACAAAAATATGGATAAATATCCCTCTTTACACCTAGATTTGAATTCAAGAGAAAAATATGTTTTGCATTTTTATTTCCATTTTTTTATCTCGTAGTGTTATTTATCCACCAAACTTTTTACTGCTGCGTGCATTGATTTAGAAATAAACTGAGATTAATTAAATTATATAAAATTTAAAATATCGGTTCACAGTATTTAGAAATCAATAATATATATATATATACACGTGGCATGTCGGATAAAACGGTCAACGTAAGTTGCTTGTGTCTCTTGTGACGTGGGCGTCGGATGTTGTGCAAGACTTTGTACATCGAATGAGACGATATCCTTAGAACTGTTATTCGAAATGATTGTGTGTTATATAAATTTGTATTTTTGTAATCGTGCTTTATTATTTGCTCATCCTCAATATTCTGTAATACAATGAATCACTCCAAAACCCAAACATTAGGAATTTTAATGTGCGTGGAGCGTTTATATATATATATATATATTATTAGAATGAGAGTTGTGTTAGAGACCGGTTTACAGGATTTGGACTTACTGTAGTTTGGTATGTCTATAAATTTCATAAATCCCATGTTTTGTTATGATCAAAACCAAAAACCGAAAACATTGATCTCCGATCTATTTGTGAAATCTCTCGATTTCAATATGATATTGTACCTCCACATTCTAATTAAAATATATATAATTAATAAATTTAAAATAATTAGCTAGGGTTTTTCACCATCAGTTCCTCATTCACCAAATCCTTTACCGAATCAAATATTTCCCATGCTGATATTTTAATCGACACTATCTATTTTTATAATAAATTTATGGGATGAACTATATTATAGAGTACTTACGAGTAGATAAATAATTAATAAATAAAATCTAAATCTTAAATCTAAATTCTAAATTCTAAACCTGAACTTTTGAAATGAAGAAGTATGTTATGGATTAAGTCGTATTATTGAACAACCTTTTTGGCAAAAGATAACGGATTATATGCCTTAGTATACCTTATTGAAAACATTAATTAATTACCATGTACCATAATTAGCCAAGTTTACTTTCCTGTGGGTCCCGCCGTTATTCCGGACCAATTGCAAGTCGTAACGTCATATTAATTTTGCAGTTGCAAAAGAGGAAAAAATATTTAAAAAATAAAATATAAATCCTTAAAAAAAATCTTAAAAGTATCTAAAAGATTTCACAGTTCGCGAAGCAGTTAATAATTTGGATTGTGTCCGAAATGATAAGTGACCAAGGACACGTGTCGACTTTCTTACCCCCTTTAAGACTGCATGGAGATTTAGGCACGTCATCTAGTGACTTTTCTTTACCCACGTAGACCCTGGTGAGCAATTCGAATTTCGAACATTTGGGTTTGGTTATCTAAATATAGTAGAATTATATTTAAAATCGTATACTAAAATAATAAAAACAACATATAATTTGTTTCTTTTATAGAAATTGGTAAATTATAATAAAAATATGCTTAATAAAATCTTATGTACACGTGAAAATAAAATTGGTGTGCCTGGGCTTGGAGTTTGATCCACAGGCACTTAAACCCAACTACGACCCGAGTGTTAGGCGCGTCTGGTGGTCAAGTCCGGCGGACTGAGGTTCATGGGGACTGTTAGGTACGGGTGGTGGCCAGTTCGTCTTCGTTTGTAAGGGTAGGTAGTCACGGGTAGGGGTGGCCATTTCGGTTATTAACCGAATAACCGAATCGAACCGAACCGAATAAGACATAACCGTACCCGAACCGAACCCGACATCAAAACCGAACGGTTATGATTTCCTTAAACCCGAAAAACCGAAACCGAAACCGAACCGAACCGAATAAAAAATAACCGAAAAAACCGAGAGAATAACCGACAATTTTCTTTGAAAAATTGAACTTTTTACCAAAACCGAACCGAACCCGAACCGAAAAATAACCGAACCGAACCGAACCGAAATTTATATAAAAACCGAATGGTTATAGTTTTTCTATAACCGAAATAACCGAACCCGAATATAACCGAACCGAACCCGAACCGAAACCCGAATTGGCCACCCCTAGTCACGGGGTTCCCCAATGTATAAAAAAAAAAAAATTGGTGTGTAGATTTTTCAAAACAGGAAAATTTTCAAAAAATAATCACATTGAAAGTGAAATAAAATCTAGGAACGATTTTTCGGGAAAATAATACGGAATGAAAAGCATGAAATATTTTCTTACGAGCTGAAACATGTTATTTGATGTTTTATTTAACTAATTAAATGAGTGTGTAAATTTAGATCTTTTTGTTAGAATATGTGTTAAGATATTTTTTCTTTTTAGATAATCCGAAAATTATTAAAATTTTTTTATCCAACTATATCTTTTATAAAATAAAAAAATTTATTTAAATATTCTTTTTCGTATGGAGAATCGATACAGTATTTAGCAAAACCGGTTATATATATATAAAATAGATGATAAGTTTGAGCGTGTAGAACTCTGTGAATTCTAAATCTTTGTTTTTTATTTATTTATTGATGCTTGTGGAGAGTTTTATGTTTTGAATATTGTATTAGAAATTATATTAGTTATGATATTAGAAATTATTCTACGAAAAGTAAATTATACTATTATATGTTTAAATCCATCTGATTATCAAGAACAGTTATTTTATAATTAAACTCATCTGATTATTTGGTCAAAACAATATGTTATATAATCATATAATTTTTTATCGTGTATCAAATACAGAAAAAACCATTTCTTGATATATATAGTCCAATCTTGATACATATATAGATACTGAAATATATATATATATATATTTTTGTTAAAGCACTGGAATATATGTTTCTTGAACTGTCAAAGAAGTATACACAGGTTAAGGGATAAAACCAAGGGGTAGCACTGGAAGATTTATTTTTTATTGAAGCTGAATCAGAAAGTCCAGTCTTTGAGCTTATTATCAGTACAAGACACAGTTGAAACATGGAAACACATTACACAAAAGAAAGACAGATCAAAAGGGAAGAACTGATACTTAGAGCCTGGAGGAAGTGATGGAGGGATAGTGAGTGACGATGTGGTTATAAGCGTCGAGTGTCAAGAAATCGTCAAGCTCAGGGGCGGTGCATTGCCTTGTGAACATCTTGCAAGCTTCCTTGTACTTCCCTTTCTCGAACTTCTCCTTGTTCCCGACTTCTCTCTCGATCCTCCCCATCTCCTCCTCCGCCACTCTCCCGAACAGCTCCTTGCTCACCCTCACCCCGAGCCCGTCCCCGTCCAGCTCCACCCCGTACTTTATCCATTGCCAGTTCTGCACCCGGCTTATCTCCGCGGTTGCTGCATCTTCCATCAGGTTGTAGAGCGGGACGGACCCCGATCCCGTCAGCCAGGCCGCCAGATACTGGATCCCGACCCGCGTGTTCAGCCTCAGGCCTTCGAGGGTTCTTGCCCCGCGAGGCTTCTGCAGAAGGTCTTCCTCTGTTAGAGCGGACGCGTCCTCGCGTTTCACGGTCTGGATTTGGTTCTGAGAGTTGCCCATATGGCTTGTGAAGACTTCCATACAGGCCGGGATCAGGCCGGGATGAGCGGCCCATGTCCCGTCGTGCCCTGCTCTTACCTCTCTTAGCTTGTCCTTCCTCACTAGCTCCAATGCAACTTCATTCGCTTTTGGATCGTCTCTTATCGGAATCTGAGCAGCCTGAATACATAGCGATGAAGGTAACCGGCATTAGGAAAGGATCCTGATCGAGAATCTGAACCTTAAACTTAGTTCTAAATCCTTTAATGTAAGATCAAGAACCCGAAGGGGGTTGAACCGAGAGACTTATTTACCATGCCTCCCATGGCATGGACCCCGCGCCTATGACAAGTTCGGATGAGAAGATCGGAGTAACTCCTCATGAAATGCTGAGTCATCCCGACCTGGACACGGTCGGGGAGGAGCCGATCGGGGTGAGCCTGGAAGGTCTTGACATAGCTGAAGATGTAGTCCCATCTTCCACAGTTAAGACCGACCGAGTGGTCTCTCAGTTCGTACAGTATCTCGTTCATCTGGAAAACCGCAGGCAAAGTCTCGATCAAGACGGTGGCTCTGATGCTTCCTCTCTCGATACCCGCCATTCTCTCCGCCCGTTCGAACACGCTGTTCCATATCTTCGCTTCCCTGCCAAGTAAACATGAATGTAAGTGCAAAACGATCTGCAAGAAACCGGTTTACTTGAATCCGAATCTGAGTCTGATATCAAAAACTTCATCGCTTAAATCCAAACTTGATTCATCTCTGTAGCTGGAACCAAACTGAATCCAGCAAATACATAGGCAAACATAACCAATCAGAGCAGGCTTACTTCTGTCTATATCAAATGATTTTCAGTTTAGAACTTCCCAAAACGTGAACCCGAATCGTCAGAAGAGATGCGAGAAACCAACTTTAACTCAGTTTTTCCGCGATTTCGGTAACAGGCAATGTCGGACTCTTACCTAGAATGCTCCATCTTGGGAAGATAGAAGAAGGGTCCGAAACCACCACCTTGATTCTGCCTGAACTTAGCATAGTTATGGAAGAAATACAGCCCGAAATCGACGAGGCAGCCAGTCGCAGGTTCGCCATCGATGAGGATGTGAGCTTCGGGTAGATGCCAACCCCGAGGCCGTACGAAGAGCTTCGCGGTCTGGTCGTTGAGTTTGTACACTCTGTTCCTCGCCTTGTCGTGGAAGGTTATGGTCCCTTCCACCGCGTCCTTGAGATTCACTTGGCCCTTCATCAGATTCTCCCAGCTCGGCGAAAGAGCATCCTCGAAATCGGCCTGATCAAATTCCGATAATCGTTATTCGATTTCAGATGAATCCGTTTGCTTGACTGTCAAGTAATCTATTTGTGAGTTTGGCCTTTTGAACTTGTGCTTAAGCTACTCTTGGAAAAAAAAGTGTTCAACAAATGTTTTACTGGGTTATCCGGTTTACGGTTGGGTTCGGTTTCAATTTCGGTTTGGTGTCGCTCCGGTTTTAGAATGTTGTGTAAGTTTCGGTTCGCGTTTTTTGTACGAGTTGTGTGTTAATTTTGATTTTAATTTCGTATGCTTTGAATTTGTAAATGCATTAAATTTTCTCATATAAAAAAAAAGAAAAAATTCCCAATTTCTCAAAATTTGGACTCATTAGTTTCTTTCAAAACCTGTGTTTTTTTCCCTCTTAACATAATTCAATGAAACATTTTATACAAACCTTATTCTCTTTTCTGGAATTAAAAAAACCTTTTTATACAAAAATATTTATTTTGTAAAAGATAAATTTGTTTGGAATTTAAAAAAATGACAAATTTTTGTTACGGTTTGATTTGGTTTGGATGAGAAAGCCGAACTTAAACCCACGGTTTCGTAACAATGAAACCATGCTGGTTCTAATTCAGAAACAGAATCCAAAATCCAAAATTCCGGTTTAATTCGGTTTGGTTTGGGTTTAAACGGCAGTAAAACAAAATGAAAAAAAAAGAGAAACATACCATGAAGACTTTGGCGCCGGAGTTAAGGGCATTGATGATCATCTTCCTCTCAACAGGACCCGTGATCTCCACTCTCCGGTCAGCCACCGCCGGAGGCACGGCGGCGCAAACCCAGTCGCCATCTCTGATGAACTTCGTCGAAGGGTCGAAACCAGGAACACCGCCATTGTTGTAACGCTTCTTTGCCTCTTTCCGACACTCCATAGCGTATCTCACCTGCCCACGAAACTCTCTCTGAAGATCGGCCACGAATTGCAGAGCCTCTCTCGTCAGGATCTTGGCGAAATCGGAATCGTAACGTCCCCGAATCTCGACTCCCTCCGGCGAGTCGTAGGCGGCGGTCGGCCGTCTCGGCGTCGCCGGAGTAGGAGGGTACGTTCCAAGTTCCATGATGATGATCTTTTGGGAGATTTTTCTGGGGAATATGCTGGTGAATGAAATGAAACGGTGCGTGTGTATATATGTAATATGATTGTGGGAATGGATAGGTATGGAGAGTGTTATCGTGAGTGATGAAATATGGCGTCTTGTGGGGGTGGCGAAGATAAAATGGTGACGCCCATGAATGTGAATGATTTTTTACATTATAAAGTTGTCTTTGATATGTGTGCCAGTTTCGTAAAATGTGCCCTTTTTTCCGACGGGTTGATAAATTGTTTGGATTCTGATACTTTCAGATTTGAGGGTATTATAGTCATTCAATTTTTTTTTTTTATTCCGTTTGAATTTTTTCTCGTATTTGATTCAATTTATTTACAAAAATGTATTGGATTTAAATACAATCATACATTATTTGTTCATTTGGACTTTTACTTAACGGACATACACATTGGATAATGTTATAAGACGTAGAAGGAGACTCAGAAATTGGCTTGATAGATGAATCCTTCATTACAATTCGCCAAACGCAATCACCACCATTGACATTACACAGTCGCAACAGCTAAACGCAACCGCAGTAGACGTTATAAACGACAGCTAATGAAGTGGAGACGTGAAGTGCTCTCGAGGGCAGTAGGAGAGAATTGATAAAGTACAGCAACCGAGCTTCTGGGGACAAAACATGCAAGTGCAATGACATGACTGATCGATTTGATAAAATTCCGAATACAAAAAAAAAAAAAAAAAAAATCGTGAGCAACTGTGATAGAGGAACATAGGATTTAAGGATGTTCCTAAAGCAGTCTCTTATCAATCCGAAATTGTTTGGAAGCAAAGTCGAAACCTTTACCAATGATGGGTAAAACTTATTGGGAGGGCTTCTCTTCCAGCTCCTCCTCCTTCTGGGGAGACAAGTACCTATCACAAGCACAAAAACAGACAAGACAACATTCTTAATCTGCAGCCTCAAATCAAAAAACCCTTTTAGATGCAAAGATCACCGGAACAAGAGCTTGATGGTTAAATGTAAGAATCTAATACTGCCGTCACACCGACAACAGTATCTGTAAGAACGAATCAGAAACTGTTTCACTAATGGAATATCTCCAAAGTGCATGTGTTTCTCCTAAGGTTTCTATCATCTCAATTGGAGCTCTTCAGAAATCAGAAGAGATCACATCGACATTTCGGTAACTACAAACTGAATATAGTTTTAACTCACCCTTGGCCTCTGGCCCAACGAGAGAGCTGATAGAGCTGTACAGTCTCGTTGGAAGCATGGCAAGCGAGAAGCAAATAGTTGCGCGGTTGTACCATCCATGCAAATCTCATGAACAATGCCGAGTAAACACACATTGCTGTGACACAGGAAATCGAGGTTAAAAAAAAAAACAGTGAAAAAACTCGTAAGATTATAAACCTTGCAGAGATTTCAACCAGGTCTTGTCCTTACCCGAAGTCATGTTTCCAGAAATCATTTCAGGTGGCTTGTTCATGTCCGCCAAACCCTATCGAATTCACCAGTCAGTATGTGTAATTCATCCATTGTTCACGAAAGCTATAGATGTAAGAATGACGAGTTGTAAAGAAAAATGAAACATGAACATACAGCAGCAACAAAACCCCAGTTTGCAACAGGGCCCCAAAAATGAGTTGTTTTAGGGCCAACCGGACTGTTCAAGAATGCTTGGAACCTTGATGCCATTTCTTATAACTTTCTACTGAAATACTCCTGCATTTAGTGTCAGCACAAGAAAAAAAAAATTCAATCCATCATCACAGATATAACAAAATGTCAAAGGAAATAAGCATTCATTCAAAAAACAAAAATGTTCTGCACACAATCTGTTTTATAGCAACCTAAGGGTGCAAGATTTTGGTGCAGTTGAGCTGTCTTGTGTAAATACACAGAATATAAACATTTTAACCATTCCCATTTCCAGAATTTGTTCTGTGATGTGATGAAGCGTCCGCCATAATTTCCTACAAAGCATTTCCCCACGGAGGAAAAACTTTCGATTTCGTCATCGAATCCTACAATCTCATTGCTGTCCTCTTTTTCGTCATAATCCGTCACACAGGCCAACAGAGCTACCGATATTGAAATCATGCTTCGCATAAAAGAATCCAATTTTACACGCCTACACACCTAACACACAAACAAGTTTAGCATTCATCAGAACATATTCAAATCAGTATTCAACAAGAGGAAGATTCAATCATCTTCTGCTTTGAACACTGATCCCAGAATCAAGCAAACCGGTCATCATCTATCGGAATCAAAGAACTACTTCGCAATGACAAGTTCACTTGTACATTTCTACACACCTAACTCACGCAGAAAAGTTCACCGTACATCAGGACACATTCAAATCCGTATTCAGCGAGAGGAAGATTCGGCACACGTTTCAACTCATCCCAAATCAACCAGAAAACTGGCAATCCTCCACAACTCAGAAACCGAGCAATCGAAATCCGAGCGATCATCCAATGAACAGCGCTGAATGTGCTAATAGGTTTATACGCGTATACATATATATGTCCCTCTCTATATGTGTGTATATATAGAACCGAGGACCACAGATTATCATCTCGAATCCGAGGAAATCCAAAATAAGGCGAATCACCTCAGAGAAAATCGATCAGTCAATGTCCGATCGATAGACAACAGCTTCGCATTCGACGGACATAGACGTGGACTGGATGGGAACATTACACGTGTGTATCGATAGGAGGTAATTACCTTGTCGGAGATATTTAGCCGAGAATCGGAGAATATCGCGAGCGAAGTCGATCACCGGCGGCGATGGAGAAGCCGAGAAGGTGCAGTTGAGAAAGACAGCGGAGAAGAAAAAGAACCAGTAATGTTGATATTAGCTCGGAATCGTCTACCAGAGAATATTCCAGTGCGGTCGTCCCCATGTTAAGGATGATGCAACCGATGGCCGAGACAAAACAAACAGTACTTAGGAATCCGGTCCGGTTTTTAGATTTTCCAGTTTCACCACGGCGGCCGGTTGGGTTCAATTTATTCAATTTCCATAAAATTTGGATTTGGTTATCGCGACTGTGAGGGTGAAACAAGACACGGTGGCCGGTAGGGAGTTTCGGTTTGGTTTTGCAAAAATCAAACCAACCCGAACCACAAAATCGTAATCAAACAACCTAATATAAAAGGCAACGATTATAAGTTTTTTAAAACAAAAAACCGAACATGCCCAAATATAAAAATAATAAAAAAACCAACAATTTCTTTAAAAAATTTGGATTTTGTTTAAAACATAAAATATTGAATCAAAATATAATGAAACCGAATCTAAAAGCCGACCCGAAACCCATAATCATATGTAAGATTACTCGATGGACAAGGCCCCAATGTGTACGAGGGGTTCTATCAGACAGACAGAAGGTGGATGTAGGACATGTAAGCCTTCTTTCGTTCGTTCGACAAATTCTTAAATCTCATGTATTGGAACAAAGGACAACCATCCCTTAGCATATTGCAACAAGCCCATCAGTGATAGCGCAACGGTTATTTAACGCAGTTCAAACATCCGGGTCACGAAAAAATCGAAAGCAAGCCCTGCAATGGATCGAGGCGTTTTCTCGGGGTATGTACTTAGTCTCTTACCGATCGTTTTCAAGTCGTAAAAACAAAGATTTTCGGAATTCAGATGCGGTTAAGGTCAGGCAGAAACAGCTTTCTTCACCTCTGCGGTAACCTCTTGAGGAGGTTTCTCGGCCGGAATGTTCACGAGTTTTCCCTTCTGGCCGTAGTATTGAATAACCTGCAAACCAAATCCAGCATAGCAATGAACAAAAAAGTATGTCTAATTTGTAATGTCCAAAAGGTCTATCAGTTTTAAAGAAAGCAACACTATTTTACCATCCCAGATGATATGAGAGATTTTTCGAGATCATACCGGTTCTGTCTGGTTGTGGAATGCGTCAAGCCTCGACCTAAGAACGTCGGCATTGTCATCTTTACGTTGGATCAGTGGTTCTCCGGTAACCTTACATGAAAAGAAGTAGACGAGAAAAGATCGGTGAAGAAATTAAGGGCAATCAGAAAGGTTTCTAATTGCTGACTAGAAGTTGATGAAACAAAAATGAATGTATGTAGAAATATTACATCATCGACACCGGGAACTTTGGGAGGCGCGAATTTAGTGTGGTAAGACCTGCCACTTGAAGGGTGGATCCACCGCCCGGTAATTCTTTCTTCTAGAATAGAATCATCGATAGCAAAGTTGAGAACTTTGTCAATTTCGGATCCTCGCCTCTTGAGCATCTCATCGAGCTGCAAACTTTTTAAGTCAAGCGAATATATTTCACAGCAAAAAAAAGGGAACGCATAGAATAAAAACGATACCTTCTCGGCTTGGGTCACGGTCCTCGGGAACCCGTCAAGAATGAAACCTTTCTGACATTTCGGTCTGTTCATTGCTTCATCCATGATGCCGACAACCAAGTCATCCGATACAAGATCTCCCTGGTAAAAACAACAAAAGATAACAATTCATGCTTTCATCTCACATAACCATCATTGAAAAGAAAAACCCGAAACCCGAAACAACCGAGGCTTGGCCTAACCTTTTCCATTGCCTCCTTTGCTTTTACGCCGAGAGGAGTCTTCGCCGCAACAGCTGCTCTCAGCATATCACCGGTTGACAAGTGGCACAAGCAGAACTCATCCTTGATCACGGGAGACTGCGTGCCTTTCCCCGAACCGGGAGGACCTATCAATCACATAGGTCTCCAATTCAAATTTCAATCCAAGAACTAAACACATTCTCTATACCATAACAAATGCTACAGAGCGCAGAAGTATCAACTCATTTCCCATTTCAGGATCAGTGTAGAACCCTAGCCGATTCGGATCCTTCCTCTGCCGAGTTCTCCAATTATGGAGCAATTTCAAACCCCTTTTTCCTTCTCTTCCTCAAACAATGTGAACGATGAGGAAATCCACAAATCTAAACACAGAACTCAATCGGGAACCCCAAAAAGAAACATACTTCACTGCATAAGCAAAGTGATAGCAACAATGCCACTGTTACATAACAATACCCTGAAAATTCACACAGGCAAACAAACAAAAGGCTTTGCCTTTTCCTCCAATTCTTTCTCGTCACTTCAGATGAGATGAGTAAAGCCTCAAAGATCCAATCGACCACTAAACCCACCAAATATTAAAAAAAAAATCAAACTTTTTTTCCCAGGAAATACAAACAGAGGACGCCAGAATTCGATGGATCGAGCAACAGCAAGACAAAACGCAGGGCATATTTTAGACATACCAATGAAAATGAGGCGCTTTTCAGGCTTTGAAGCACATTTCATACGACGGAGGAGTTCGGACATGAGATCGACGGTCTGAACATCTTCCAAATCCACCGCCGCTGCGCTGTTTGTCGCCATTATCGTCTTCTCTCGCTCGAACAGAGATGGGTCCTTAGGGCTCTTCGCTTTTTTTTCTTTTTTTTTTCTGTGCAAAGACCAGTGGTTTTGGTTTACAAAAGGGTCCTTGGAAAATGCGAGTTACCTCTCTGCTTTTTAGATTCGATTCCGACCTGCAATGCTTCCGCCTCATGCAGCGGGTTTGTCTCGCCTTATCTACACAAATTTACTGTTTTGCCCTTTGCTGCTATGTCATGTATTTATCTAGCACGGATTTTTTAGGTTGGTGAGGGCTTGCTTTTCTTTTTCCTCTCTAAATTTTAGCGATTTTTTAGCAAAATTATTTTCCGGTGTCCAACGAAATTCGTGATAAGATAAGATAAAGAGAAAATTAGTGATAGAATTTGTGACTCATATATGATTAGTTTTGTCCGAAAATTTAATTTAATTAATTTATATTCGAATTGAATGTATTTAAAATATATTTGTTTCAATATTTTCAAAATCAAACTAATTTTTTTTAATCCAATAGGATACAAAATAATAAAAATCCGATAAAAAAATTTGATAGTTGTTTAAAAAATATTATTTTTTAAAGAAAAGTAAAGCTAAATTGAATTCTATTAAAATTTGGTCTAAATCAAAATGATGAATATATTTTTTAACTGAAAAATCTTAAAATATACAACCAAAAACCAATATAAAGATAGACAGATAAATTTTGAAGTAAAATTGTTATTGGAGAAGGTTATAAAAAATTGGGATAAGTTCTTAATCTATTAATGGAAAAATTAATTCTAATGAAATCTATTTGCCATTACAGTTGACAAGGAATAGAATCAGCATCACCTAAATTTATCTCCATAAATAAAACGTGAAGAATCTATAAATCCAAGAAATAAAGTTGTTTCTATACATAAAGAAAAATTAAAATGAACGAGATACCGAGAGAAAATTTTAATTGGTACAATATATTTTAAATTAATATTGAAATAGATAAATTCGTAAATATTGTGGAATATTTCATATTAATTACTCCTATAACAGATTTATATATAATTAATATTTTATTCAGACGATTTTAGAAATTTTGTTTACTTTGCTTTTATTGTACATATGTTGAAGACTTTGTAGCTATGTCTAAATATACCGTACGTATAGTCATACGAACAATATACAGAGACCAGCATAGATAATATAAATATCAAATCCGTCATAACTCAAAAGTTCTCTGAAAGTGAAACTCTAATCCTCGAATTTAACGAACTTACAGACAAAAGAAACAAGATCTCAGTTGTGTCAAGACAGAAGACGACATGTTCATATGCCCTTTTCGAGCATTGCCCTAACTCTCATGGGCAGCCCATAGAGCCGAATGAACCCTGCTGCATCGGCTTGGTTGTAGATTTCGCTTCCTTCGAACGAAGAAATGTCCTGCCTGTACAGACTGTACGGACTCCTACGGCCCGTGACCGATACTGACCCTTTGTACAGCTTCAGCGTGACCGAGCCAGTCGTTTTCTCTGTGATCTTCTCCATGAATGAGTCCATGGATTCCCTGAGCGGATCGAACCATCTTCCAGCGTAAACCATCTCGGCGTATTTGAGGGCTAACGTGTCTTTCACCTGGATGGTCTCCCGGTCCAGGGTGAGGGACTCGAGCTCTTGGGCCGCTGTGAAGAGGATAGTTCCCCCGGGGGTTTCATAAACGCCTCGGGATTTCATGCCAACGAGCCGGTTTTCTACTAAGTCTATGCGGCCAATACCGTGCTTTCCTCCTATGGTGTTTAGCTCGGAGAGAAGGGTGGCTGGAGAGAGGGTCTTCCCGTTGAGCGAGACGGGAACTCCAGATTCGATCCCTATCTCGAGGTACCTATATGTAAAACCATGCAAGCATGATACAGACCACATCGGTGAACATGAATGGATGGATGACAACATGCCATGGTCCAAAGAAGACGCTTACTCGGGCTGATCTGGAGCATCTTCTGGGTCGACACTCATCATGTACATATCTTTCTTAGGCTCGTTTGCTGGATCTTCCAATATATCACCCTTTCAAAAATTCGATATCCGACATTTAGTAGTTGAAACATGCAAATCAACCAGATCATTGCATCATATTTAGAAGAAAATGAATAGACAGGAATCAGGTTTGCTATATAGTTAAAGACATAGATCTGGATAATTCTGGAACCAGCTGGAAAACTTTACCTCGTGACTGAGGTGCCATAAGTTCCTGTCTCGGCTGTAAATAGATTTCTTAGTCACAGGTACAGGAACATTATGCTTCTTGGCATACTCAATAGCGTCTTCTCTTCCCTGAATTTCCCATTCTCTCCATGGTGCCACAACTTTAAGCTCCGGATTTAGCGAGAAAAAGGTAAGCTCAAACCGAACCTGGTTAAACAGTTAAGGCCAAATAAGGAAGATGACATACTTTACATGTAATAAATTAGCACAGCGTTTCAAGTCTTGCCTGATCATTTCCTTTGCCAGTACACCCGTGTGCCACGGCATCAGCTCCAACTTCCTCTGCTACATTGACCATAGCCTATCATTTTGAGGCTAAATTAGATAACGGGACCTAAAAGGACTCTATGAGATCACGTGAAGGGATGCAAATAAGATAATAGAGCCGACCGGATCTTCTCTAATGATAAGAAACTGAAAATGCCCCATTCCATGTTCCACCTTTATCAATTATTTTGGTCATCTCCGAAGGACAAAACTTTGTGAAAAGTTACCTTTGCAATAACGGGTCGGGCCATTGAGGTACCAAGCAAGTATTTCCGTTCATAGATAGCGCCGGCTCTAAGGCAAGGGAATATGTAATCTTTCACAAACTCCTCCTTTAGATCCTTAACAACCAACTGAGAAGCACCACTGGCCTTGGCCTTTTGTTCTAAACCCTCTAACTCTATTGATCCCTGCAAATCAAGCATTTGCAATAGGTTAAAGAATGATTTTATCGAATAAAGAGTCAAGCTAGGCAGATTTTGAAGCCTACCTGTCCAACATCTGCAGTGAAGCACACAACTTCACAGCCATAATTCTCCCTAAGAGGGAAAAAAAAAGATAAGCAGTTTATGGTAAATATTTTGTGTAACTCTGCAACAGCTGCATCTAAATGAAACGAGAGGATGAACCTAAATCTAAACGAAAACAAAAGAAACGTTCAAAGCATCTAAACAATCCGCTTCAATTTCCCGATAAATCACTATTAGCCCGTGGATTAGAGATCCGTGCCTAATTCCAGTCACCCATTGCATTCCATATGCACTCAAAGAAAATATACTTACTTTAGCCATGGCACAATCACGGAGGTGTCTAAGCCTCCACTGTAAGCTAGAACAACTTTTTTTAGCTTGCCACGAAGCCCAGCACCATTTGAATCAACAGTCTTCACAGTCTGCTCATCGTTAGAGAGACCAGCTCGGACAACTGCAGATCAAGATCAAGACCAGAATTGTTAATGTCATAACCCTACCCCGATTAGACAACATCCAATACATAATAACGGAAATCACAAAGAAGATTCTTCCTAGTAGACATGAAAGATTGACCAGTGGGCAGATCAAATCAAATTCACAAAGGAAGGACACAAGAATCAATCTGAAAAGAACATGCCCTCAAAAGAAGGAAACGGTTGATCTGCTGAGAGGAGCTTCACCTTGCTTCTTGGAACTTCGAGTAGCAATGAAGTTATTGCTAAGGACACCATTGCCAGAGAGTTTGCTTCTTTGCGCATATATCTGCATTCAGCAAACGATAAGAGGAAGAACTGTAGAATCAGATACGAGACAATTAGAACAATCCTTCTCCCTGAAAGAAAGAAGCCATGAAGATAAATACTTTGCAACTCAACAAATCGTAAATACCTCTTGAAACGGCAACCCGGTTCTCTGCCAAGCTACATTTTGAGTTCCAGAGGAACCTGCAGAACAGGATCAAACAAGATATATCTATTAGTGATGAATAAGTCTACGCAAATCTCTCTTGATTGATTCGGTTACTATATTGTTTCCAGATTATTCTCTAACTCCTTAATTGTCAATCATGTATATATGTCGTTGTACGACAATTGTCAATAATATATGAGAAACATTTTTCCAAACCACAACATGGTATCCAGAGCCTAAGTGTCACACGACCAGAACACCCCCACAATCCTATTTTTCTTTTTTTTATTCCTCGCAGCTTCTCTGCTAACCCCACCGCCATCGACGACTTATTTAGCCGTCCTCCATGGTTTCCGACACACCCTCCAGCTCCGATGCCATTCTCCGTGACAATGTCACCGCACACAACACCGACGATCCCGCATCTACATTGATCAACGTCAATGTCTCAAACGTGACCAAACTCAACGGCACAAATTTTCTGACTTGGAGCATCCAAATCCAAGCCCTCCTCCAAGGTTACAACCTTGACGCCTACCTTGATCCGGCCACTGCTCCGCCGCCCACCATCATCGTCGCCAATGCTATCACGCAAAATCCCGCCTACACTCCGTGGTTTCGCCAAGATCGCCTAGTTTTCTCGGCTTTTCTTGGCTCGATCTCCGCTCCGTGCCAAGCTTTGGTCGCCACAGCCTCTTCAGCAGCCGCCGCATGGACTGCTCTCTCTCAGACATATGGACGCTCGAGCCGAGGACACGTCAAGCAAATCAAGGAACTCATGCGTCGTCAATCGAAAGGCTCCAAATCGATTGATGACTACATGAATTTCTTCAAAGTTAAGTCGGACGAACTTGCACTACTTGGAAAGCCCATGGATCACGAGGATCTCGTTGATCTCATCCTCAATGGCCTCGGAGATGAATACAAAACGGTGAAAGATGCTGTCAATGCACGAGACACACCGATCTCGTTCATCGAACTCCACGAGAAGCTGCTATCACACGATGTCGACATTGCTGTACTAAACCCGTCTGAGATTCCACTAACTGCCAATGTCGCACATCAAGGCTCGCGATATGCTTGGCGCCCTCGTGGAGGCCGCGGTTCCCCGGCGCAGTCCTCACCGCGCCCGTACTCATCGCAACCGCGGAACTACAACCCACGATCTCCTCGTCCATACCTCGGCAAGTGCCAACTGTGCGGTGTCCAGGGTCACAGGGTCACAGTGCTCGCACATGTCGGTTGTTAACCTCCCAGCCAGGCCGACACTCATCGGACCCATCGCTCTCCCACAATGGCGATTCATTATGGCAGGCGAGTGCTCACCCAACGGTTGTATCCTCCTCCTCCCCTTCATCGTGGCTCCTAGATTCGGGAGCGTCTCACCACGTGACATCCGACTTGGCCAACCTTTCCATGCACTCACCTTATCACGGTGGTGATGAGGTCATCATTGGTGATGGCTCGGGTCTTGCTATTACGCACACCGGTTCCTCTTCTCTTCCCTCATTTACCCGCTCCCTTAAACTTCATGATATTCTCTATGTTCCAACCATGCAGAAAAACCTACTATCCATTCATAAACTTTGCAGTTCTAATAATGTTTCGGTGGAATTCTTCTCCCGTTTCTTTCAGGTGAAGGATCTCAACACGGGGGCAATAATAGTAACCGGGCCACTTAAGCATGGTGTGTGCGAATGGTCGGCTCTTCCTATGTCATCTTCATCTCCAAATAAACCCTCGAGTCTTGCCTTGTCAAGTGTCAAGAAATCTCTCTCCGAATGGCACTCTCGACTAGGTCACCCATCCTGGGAAGTTCTTAATTCTGTTGTTTCTCGTTTTTCGTTGCCATCTACTAGTGTTCCGAACCATTCCTTGTCATGTGAGTCTTGCTTGATTAATAAAAGCCACAAAATTCCATTTTCGACGTCATCGGTTTCTTCTTCGCGTCCACTTGAGCTTATTTATTCCGACGTCTGGACTTCACCCATCACTTCGTTTGATGGATATAAGTACTACGTCATCTTTATTGATCATTTTACACGATATACTTGGTTTTACCCTATGCGTCAAAAATCCAACGTGGCAACGATATTTCCTCTTTTCAAATCTCTAGTTGAAAACCGGTTTCAAACAAAAATTGTCACATTTTTCTCCGACAATGGTGGTGAGTTTCTTGCCTTGAAAAAGTTTCTTGCCTCTCAAGGCATTTCTCATCACACTTCTCCACCACACACGCCGGAACACAATGGTGTTTCCGAGCGTAAACATCGTCATATTGTCGAAACCGGCCTTACTCTCCTCTCTCATGCATCTATGCCGTTGGACCTTTGGAGTTTTGCTTTTCCGACAGCGGTCTATTTAATAAACCGTCTTCCCACTCCGGTCCTTCAAAGTCGATCACCATTCGAAACCTTGTTTTGCACGTCTCCAAATTATTTGAAGCTACGATCTTTCGGTTGTCTTTGCTTCCCGTGGCTTCGTCCCTACTCTCGTCATAAGCTCGAGCCACGTTCCTCTCCGTGCGTCTTCGTTGGTTATTCATTAACTCAAAGTGCCTTTCTTTGCCTTCATGTAGCCACATCCCGTGTTTATGTCTCGCGTCATGTCGAATTTGTAGAGTCGGAGTTTCCTTATGCTCGTCACCTCTCGGTTTCCACTTCCTCTTCGACTGAGTCTGCCACATATCCCTCACCATCACGTTCGTCCACTGTTCCGAGCCGGCCTATCGTCCCGATACCATCGCCCATGTTGCCCACGATGCTGACTCCATCACCTGTTCGAAACTCCCCGGAACAAGACTTGCCGACACCGTCACCCCTCTCATCTACCTTGCCAAACACGCCACCGACCGCATCTGAACCCGCCGAACCCTCCATCCACCACGACCAACAACCACCACCGACCCATCCCTCCCATGAACCACCTCTAAACACACATCCAATGACCACTCGCTCGAAAAACCACATCACCAAACCGCATCCGAAACTCACACTCACCACCACTATTGACCCTAACCGAGATATGGAACCGACGTGTGTATCGCAAGCACTCAAGGATCCCAAATGGCGGAGTGCAATGGCTGATGAATTCAATGCCCTCCTTCGAAACGGCACTTGGAGTCTTGTACCACCAAATCCGGACTACAATGTCATTGGGTGTAAGTGGATTTTTCGGACTAAACGTTTATCCGATGGCTCTGTTGACAGGTACAAAGCTCGCCTTGTCGCAAAGGGATTTCATCAACGACCCGGGATCGACTTTAATGACACTTTCAGTCCTGTCATCAAGCACGCTACAATTCGAGTCGTTCTAAGTGTTGCGGTCTCCCGGGGATGGCCACTTCACCAGCTTGACGTAAATAACGCTTTCCTCCAAGGAACTTTCGACGAGGATGTCTATGTTGCTCGGCCTCCCGGGTTTATCGACCAAGATCGCCCTTCATACGTGTGCAAACTCCACAAAGCTCTCTACGGGCTAAAGCAAGCACCACGTGCTTGGTACAACGAGCTTTGTCGGTTCCTGCTTGCCTCCGGATTCGTCAACTCTCTCTCGGACACTTCCTTGTTCATCTACAACTGCGACTCTATCACTCTCTTTGTCCTTGTCTATGTAGATGACATTGTGATTACCGGAAGCCACACGAAGAATGTTCAAGACTTTATTGCGATACTAGCTCGAAGGTTCTCCATTAAGGACCTCGGTCCTTTATCATTCTTTCTAGGCGTGGAGGTGACTCGCGGACCAAAGGGAATTCTCCTCTCTCAAAGGCGGTACATTGGTGACATTCTCTCCCGTCATTTCATGGCCGACGCTAAGCCAGTCAACACACCTCTAACGACGACATTGGACCTTCGACGCGACAGCGGCTTCAAGCTTGATGACCCTGCGGAGTATCGACAAATATTGGAAAGCTTACAATACCTTCTATTCACACGACCGGACATCGCCTTTGCGGTCAATAAGCTTTCCCAATACATGCATTGTCCTACGTCGGAACATTGGAAAGCCCTGAAACGGGTCCTACGCTATCTGGGCGGGACTCGCTCCCATGGTATCTTTCTCTCGAGCTCCTCTCCGTTGTCTCTTCATGCCTTCTCTGATGCAGATTGGGGTGGTGATCGTGATGATTTCACATCAATGGGAGCTCATATCGTTTATCTCGGCCGAAACCCGAGATCTTGGTCTTCCAAGAAACAACGGTTCGCGGCCAAATCATCTACTGAAGCGGAGTACAAGTCTGTCTCAACCACGGCATCGGAGGTTCAATGGCTTGTCTCCCTCCTATCCGAGCTTGGCATTATTGTTCCCACGGCGCCAGTCATTTACTGCGACAATGTCGGTGCCACCTATCTCTCCGCAAATCCCGTATTCCATTCCCGAATGAAACACGTCGCAATTGACTACCACTTCATCCGCGGACTAGTTCAAGCTCAGAAGTTACGTGTCACTCACGTCTCCTCTGCCGACCAGCTTGCGGACGCTCTCACCAAGCCTCTCGCCCGCCACCGGTTCGAGCTTCTTCGGTCCAAGATCGGTCTCTCCGCTGACACCGATCTTGTGGGGGCATATTAGTGATGAATAAGTCTACGCAAATCTCTCTTGATTGATTCGGTTACTATATTGTTTCCAGATTATTCTCTAACTCCTTAATTGTCAATCATGTATATATGTCGTTGTACGACAATTGTCAATAATATATGAGAAACATTTTTCCAAACCACAACAATATCACGATTCGGATCTTGCAGGAATGAGAATCAAAACGCCCCACTGAAGCGAGAATGAACTTTCGAGGTGAAAACTTCTTCCATCAAAATCAAACATATCGAGAATCGATAAACCCAAAACGCATTCACGGATGACATGGAAATTTAAAGCAGTTCATCCATAATCGGAGCTTTTCATGCTCGAAATTTCCTCACAAGAAGTCACTCAGAAAGATATCATCTCATAACCCAAAACCCACGAAATCAATACACAGAATGAGTGGAATCCAATGTCCAAAAACGAAAGAGATGAACTAATGGAAGGGAGAAAGAAAACCATTGAGGGGGCTACGGAAGGCGAAAGCTGATGACGACGGAGAGGGAAGAGAAGTCGCAATGATTTCCGCCATTGGGGTTTTCTGCTTCAGCCGCTCGAAACGATGGTGACGATGGTGAGTTGTCTCTAAGTATAGGGTTTATGACCAACTTAAAAGTAATAAAAATGAAATATATTATAAGCATTACTTTGAGTTTTTTTTTTGTATTTTCTGGTTTTTTAGAAAATAAGTTAAAAAATGAAAAAAACGTTAAAAATATAGATTTTACCATTTGAAAGAACTGGAAAACCCCTTAAAAAGACAAAGTCACACTAAAAAAAAACTGTTTTACAAAATTTTTCATAAATCTTATACGTCAAATCGAAAAATAATTTTCACACAAACAAAAATTACATTACTAATTTTGTGGTTTGGGGAAACAAGGTTTGTATTTTACTAATTAAACTTTTGTTTTTTATTTATTTTACAGTGTCGGTCTAAAAAAATACATTTTCTTATTAATGCTCTTATAAAGATGACACATGAAAAAATAATAATAATATTAGGCGAGAAAGATATATATATATATATATATATACTTGCATATACATACAAACACGTGTACATTGTATAATTATTTTATTTTTCATTTTTGAAATGCCGGAGAGACCTTTCCACGTCCCAAACATGTTTGTGTATTATCCTCGCGTGATGCGGGATAAATATTTAAACAACCTCAACTCAAAACTCAAGTGGACCTTTCATATAATATTTTTAGAGATTTATATAATATATATATATATACGAAAATGATTTATGTGACATCTGACCAGTGGACGTACAGAACCGAAATTTTCAATATTTTTTTTCGAATCATAGTATTTAAAATTTTCGAATGATATAATTTTTTTATAAAACCGAATTTTCTAAAACCGAACCGAACTTTATAAAATTATCGAAAAACTGAAATTTTCTTCAAAAAATCTAGAATTTTTTAACAAAAAACTGAAACCGAACCGTACTGAAATCGGAACTGAATAATATACAATACTAATTTGGTATAAATTTTAAAATACCGAACAAACCGTTAACGAACCGAACCGCTAAAATTCCGAACCGAATTATGAAAGGTCCACCGTTCTTTTCTTTAAACTGACTAACCGAATTTAACATGTACGAACAGAAAAACTATTCTTAACTTTTTTTAAACATTTTTTTTTATTTTTTAATATTTATAAATTATAATATTGGTATTTGTATATTTTTCTGACTACTATATTTGGATACTGGTAACACCAGTCCGGTCACTGATATATATATATATATATATATATGGATAATGGCAAATTGCTGACGTCAAAGTACCATTGGCCGCCACGGAGAACTGGTCAAAACAGAACACAACTGAGAGAGAAAAAGGGACAGGCAACAAAAACGGATAAGCACAAAGAATCAGCAAAACCCGGTTTTGTCTTTACGATCATCTCCCTCTCTATATATATATAAACACAGAAGAAGAAGAAAGAAAACTATGACGACCCTTCAAAGCACATTCAAAGAAACGAGATCAAGCTTCTGCAGGAATTCATCAGAGATGGGAAGTACGCAGAATCCAAGAAGAGAGGTTGATGATGAAGAAGATGAAGATGAAGAGGAGAAGATCACAGTTTCAAGCCCAGAGGCAAAGCTCGGGATGAGAGTCGAAGATCTTTGGGACGTTCAGGAGCCTCAGCTCTCTCCTACCGAGAAGCTCAACGCCTGCTTCGAGAGCATTCCCGTCTCTTCCTTCCCCATCTCCACCGCCTCTCGAGGTCTAAACTCGCCCGTTTTCTCGTAGAATAGATCCGCAGAAATAGATGGTGATGCGTTTCGTGATAAGAGGAGTAATCTTCCCAGCATTTCGAATTCTTTCTCGATGTTTTCGGTCGAAGAACTCGTGTTTTTGTTCTGTTGATGCAGTGACAGAGATAAGATCAGACACTAGCTTAGCAGACACTGTCAAGATACTGTCTCGGAACAAGATTCTAAGTGCACCTATAGTCGATGTCGATGCTTCCGACGAAGCTTCTTGGATAGACCGATACATCGGAATCGTGGAGTTTGCGGGCATTGCCGTATGGATCCTGCAGCAGGTTAGAGATTCTAATCCGAGAGAAAAACCAGAAGGGCCTTTTTTTATATTTCATGGTTTGAATCGGGGGAGAGATATTATAATTCCGAATGAATCTTGATCTTCGTGTTTCCATAGTCGGAGCCTCCGTCTCCTAGGAGCCAGGCTTCTCGGACCGGAGCTGCATTGGCAGTAGCAGCTAACGGAGTAACCAATGCGGCAGGTCTCATCGCTCTGGGACCCGAGGACGCGTCCGTTACGTCGGGAAACTTCTTCGAAGACCTTACTTCCTCGGAATTCTACAAGAACACTAAGGTTAAATACATGTTTCGGAAGAGTTTCCAATTCGAAGATTGTGTTCACAGTTCTCTGAAGATTCACTTTTTTCGGGACAGGTGAAAGACATTTCGGGTTCATTCCGATGGGCTCCGTTCCTCGCATTGCAGAAATCGAACTCCTTTCTAACGATGCTCCTGCTCCTCTCAAAGTACAAGATGAAGAGTGTTCCCGTGGTGAATCTCGGCGAAGGAAAGATCGATAACATAGTTACGCAATCCGCAGTTATCCACATGCTTGCAGAATGTTCCGGACTCTCTTGGTTTGAGAGCTGGGGAGAAAGAACAGTCTCGGACACCGGTCTCCCGTACATGTCATCGGATCACATTGTAAAGGTAAGGATCTTTATCTCTCTCGACCAAGAACCGAAAAGAAACAAACTTTCCATTGCAGGTTCTGAAAAACAACAAAAACACATCTTGCAATTTTGCACAAGGTATACGAGCACGAACCGGTTCTTCAAGCGTTTAAATTGATGAGAAGACGAAGAATAGGCGGCGTACCGGTCATGGAGAAAGGGAGCAACAAGGCATTGGGAAACATTAGCCTTGGAGACATTCAGTTCCTTCTGACAGCACCGGAGATCTACCATGACTTAAGGTCTGTGTACCACAAAAAACCGACATGAACATGCAGTTTTTCTTCTGTGATGATCTTTTGGAGATTTTCTTGACGGGTTTTTGATAGAACCCATCCACATCCATAACGGATCCAATTAAATCTCAAGACCCATGAATAGAAATCTCCTCAAAAGCTAGTGTGTGCCCTTATAGAGAGCTAATTCTCCCCACATATGGTAGATGCGGGACTCTAACCGCTTTTCTTGTCATCTAAACAGAACGATAACAGCAAAGGACTTCCTCACGGCGGTAAGAGGGCATCTGAAGCTGAAGAGACAGGACGAGAACTCGGGTATGATCACTTGCAAGAAAAGCAGCACAATGAAAGAAATGATAATGAGGCTGGACTCGGAGAAGATCCACAGGATCTACACGGTGGATGAAGAGGGGAACCTCGAAGGAGTGATCACCCTCAGAGACATAATATCGAGATTGGTGCACGAGCCACGGGGATATTTCGGAGATTTCTTTGACGGGGTATTGCCGTTGCCGGACAGCAGCAGGGTCTGAGAGATTCTTGCATATGAGGAATGTGCTGTGAGCTGTGAAATCTTGCAAAAGCTTTGTCTTGCAATGGAAATGTGTTGTATATATACTATATCATCGTGTCCGAGTTTCTACCTTCCCCTCTTTGGACTCACCACTTGAAATTTAACAAGTTTAGCTTCGGCTTCTTTGTCACCTTGTTTTGTAACACTTTAACACTTTTTTCTCCCCCCAAAAGCTTCTGAATTTGCCCATAATTAGGATTAAAAAAAAAGAGGATGCAAATGTAATGCAGAAAATGTCGTTTTGGGAATCAAGTGTTTGTGGTTTATTAATTCAGATTCGAGGGATGATTCAAACTAAAGATTTGGGGATTTTAAAATATAGAATTTATAAACTTTGAACAATAAAATGGAGACGTAAAAATATATTAGAAAAATGATCTAATTAACCTATAGCATACATATTTACAGAAATAGTTATAGCAATAGGAGGGTATTTATTATTTTGGATAGAAATCCTATTTACAGAATACATAATATACAGAATACAAAAAAAGCTGAATATACAAAATTTAGACATTAAAATAAAAATTTATCGAGGGCAGTAATTTAACTCCGTATTATATATATATATATATATATATATATTATTGGATGATATCTAGAGATAGGATAATTATATATTCCTGCCCAATAACAGATGAGAACATGAAACACATACACGAAAAAAGCGACTATATTTTTTTTTAGAGATGGGGTCAATAGTATATATAAATTTTAATAAGACTCAACATTTCGATTGAGATATATAGAAAACCAAATTAACTGAGAATATATATATATATATATATATATATATATATATACCCTTTTGCTTGATGGGGATTAACGTTAATTAGAACTGTATTAAATGTTACAAATCTCACAGCCCATCTGCTGATTCCCATGTACACAAACTGATGACATTTATTGACGTTGCTTAGAGATCACAACATTTAAATTACTTTTTTAATTCTAAGCAGCTGCACAAGACTTTGTCTCTGTCTGCTGAATTTTATTAATGAAAATCGAATCGAACCGAAACCCGACATAAAAAAAAAAAAAGAATAGAAATGGATTTTCTAAAACCGAAAAATCTTAATCCAAAAATAATTAAATCGAAACCCGAAATATCAAACCTAAATTCTAACGTAGAGGACATTTCTTAGTTTCATCATAGTTCTTCTTTTCTTTACTACTTCAATAACAGTTAGCCGAAATTAGTATCAACGTAAACTATAACCAATGAATTCTAGTGAACAAAAATACTTCAAAGAGAAAGAGTTACCAGTTCCTTTCATTACATTAGCTGTTCACTAATCTGCATCTGTTCTCGGATACAAGAAAATGTCTGATGGATCATCCTGCCGGAAGTAAAAAAGGGGAACAGGTTTAGCAAAAAGCAGATAAACAATGGAGGAAATTGCTAATGGAAGCATATGCTACTTGCAGTAATTGTAAAAGCTTGTTCTTTCATTGATTGCATCGCCCGTCGCATCGGTTCTAGACCGTCTTTAGATATTTGGAACTTCACCTCTGATTCATACGAACATGGCTTCCCATCATTCTGGAGCTGCATGAACACAGCGGATACCGAGATTTCGAAACCTAGAATCTCTTTGATAGCAATTGTAATACCACTTTTCTGCTGTGGAATCTCAAAACAAATCCGAATAACTAAAGAGAGGATTGGGAGCAAAGCAAAAAGGCTCAACATTCAAAACGTAAAAAGACAAACTTTCTTCGTCACATCTCTAACCAGTATTTTTTCAAGTCACAGAGATGAATAAAAGAAATCGGGTATCTGTAAAAACACAGATGCTGATGAAAAAACTCCCTCACCTTCATATTGAGGATAGCCAAAGGTTCCGTCTGTTCTCTGTCATGGCTCGCCATACTCCATGTCATTGATTTTCAGTGGGGCTCGCAGCCTAACTTCCAACAATCGTGTAGAATCAATTTAACAGAACCGAAGTTCCGAACCATAATTCAATCCAAAACCAAGCATATCAAAGAAACAATCAACCATCTCTGAAGCAAAGTTCATCACCTGATCCCTCGACACATCATCCTGCCACTCTTTCTGAAATTTCTGAAGCAAAACAATCAACAATCTCTTCATTTCAGGGGATACTTCGTCCGGAAACGGCCAGTGAATCTCATCCTTGCTGATATTCTCATACACATCTTCGAATGAGAATCCGCAGACAGAGTACAAGCTGCAGAAGGTGAAAAAATCGGAATCTGAACACGAAACGTTCAACTAATGCACTCTAGTTTCTGGGTTCGAATTCTAACCTCATGTCCAATTGCACAGAAACTAAGCGGAATCAGGTATGACGCCCACGTTAAATCTATTTCCAAACGTAGAACTTTGGCAACGATCCATACTAAAAATGCGCCGGAAGCTTTTAGCAGAACACGAAATCGAACGGCATAAAGCGAAGAACAACACTCGAAATCGTTCACGCTCTGCTCGGCAAGAATAGCGTCGGAGGACTATAAGAGCGGTGGGAAATCCGCTAACAGGGAATTCGAACAAAGGAAGAGGATAAATCTCCAAATCAAAAACCCAAACCCTAATCATAAGATGGGGAGCTTACTGGGTCGAGATCAGCGTCAGTTTCGAGCTGAAGCAAGTCGCGGAAGAGAAGACGATCAGAAGCAGAGAGACCGGTTTTCCGAGACCGCCATAGAGCCTTGAGAATGCCTTCCACAGACTCCTTAGAGTTCGCTCTCACCAGCAATGGCAGATTTTCCCAGAGGGTTTTCTCCATTTTTGAAATCTCTCTGAGATTGGACCCAAAAAACCCAATTTTTGGTGTGAAAGAGTGACCGAAAAAAGCCATTTTTGGGTCCAATTCTTACATGTAATCACATAATTTTTTCTTACAATCAAATATCTAATTAACAACAAAATAAATATATTTTTATTTTATTTACACATCATTTAATTCATATGTATTTTGTTACAAAATTCTCCAAAGGTTTTATGCACAATTTTTTTTTATAATATTCCATAAATATTCCTTTCTTTTCTTGATTGATTACGATTATTACCACCACTAAAATATATTTATAATTTTTAAATACCAAAAAGATAAATATTGTATTTTTTTTTTCAGTTTGAACTTTTATGTGTAATTTTTTTGTGATTTTAGAGTTGTACATTATATTTTATACAACATTTTCAAAAATATTTAATTGTTCTATTCATATTTTATAAGTAATACTGTCGATTTAAAAATCATTTTATTCGTGTATTAATGTTTTATATTGTATGTTATAAATTGTAGTTATCTTCTAATATTGTAACATGGCATAAATGATTTAAGAATATTTTAAAATTTTATGAATAATTTTGTAATTTTGGTAAATTTGCCTTCTTTTTTTTTTGTATATGACAGAAATTAGAGTAATATATACATGGGTATACATATGTATGTTGTGTTTGTGGCAATTCACCCTAATCTGAACGGGCAAAGTGGTGACTCCCTTCCGAGATGGCGCCGCCGAAAGATCTTCGCCGTTCGTTCAAACGACGGCCAATCTCCGATCAACAGCGACGCCGTGAGCTCTCTCTTCTCCGGCAAGCGCATAATCGGAACGATGCCCAGCAGCGAGCCCGGAACTTGGCCTCCTCCGTCATCTCTTTCCAACCTGCGTCGCCCGAATCTGAACCCGAACTCGAGTTGCCATCCGAACCCGAACCGGAACCCGGATTCGAATCCGTTCCCTCGAGCAGCCTTGACGTTCGCCAAGCTTCGAGGCTCAGAGGACCTGAGGTTCGCAAATGGTTCGCGAGACAGCTGATGCTACCTGAGTGGATGATCGACGTCCCTGATGGTTTAAGCGAAGACTGGTTTGTCACTCTCTGCAAATTTTCCTGCATTTGATCTATCTCATCGGTCATTGTGTGGTTGTCTTCTGGTTTTGGTGCGTTAATTGCTCGGCTTTCTTCGGAGAATTTTTAGGGTAATCTAGGAAAAGATCGTACCTTGTGATTCAATCGCCGGAATAAAATTAGATTGATTGTTCTTTTCGAGTTAAGTGATTTCAGCGATGAAGTACTGAGTGTAGGTTGAAATCTCTCCATTCAACTTCGAATTGGGAGGCACAGAATTTTGTTTGATAGAACTTGAGTTCAAATTCATAGCGCCTTTCTTGATGTGTATAAAAGAGTTTGAATGATTTCCGAAAGTTAGCTTGTCTTATTGCATATCTGCTAGTGTCCGGGATGAAATCTATGTTTCTTCTGCTCAAAGGTTTGGGTCAGCAGAAATAGGGATGTCTAATGATGACCATTCTGTTAAACCCATCCGGGTTATATATCTGATCGCAGAAATTGATTGGTTGTAGGTATGTGTTTGCTAGGCCAACTGGAAAAAGATGTTTTGTTGTTTCATCGAACGGAACAACGGTTAGTAGGTTACGTAATGGCTCCATCTTGCATCATTTCCCCTCCGCATTACCAGGCGGCGCAAGGACGAAAGGTGCGTCTGGCCCTGCGCAGTCTTATTGTATACTAGACTGCATTTTTCACGAGGTAAAGATGCTTTTTATGTTTTCTCTGATATATCAGTTGTCGAAATTTTCAATCTTGATCAGGCGGGTTTTGATGAGGTGATCGTTGCTGTTTTATGCAGTCGGATCAAACATACTACGTGATTGATATGATTTGTTGGCGGGGTTACTCTCTCTATGATTGTACAGCAGAGTTCAGGTTCTTTTGGTTGAACTCCAAGCTTTCGGAGACAGGAGCTTGTGGCCCTCCTTCCTTTTACCATAAGTTTAGGTTTAATACAGTACCTGTTTATAACTGTGACCAAAGCGGGCTTTTCTCGGCTTATACAGGATCAGTGCCATATGTCAAGGATGGGTTGTTATTTTATAACAAGTAAGAATGCCTCTTCCAAGTGAAACAACCCCTTTTATGTTCTATCATCTTGCCTTTTCATTGACATGCTCTCTAGTTGACTATAGTTTTGCCCGGTTTTTTCTCACGCTATTTGCACTTGGTTGGCAAAAAAATTTCACATGTTAGGTTCGTAGTTGTGAATCAAGTGTTATCAATCAAGCTGAACGCTGCGTTTATAATACAATCAGGATAAGAGTTTTGCATGCATTCTATGATATCATCAAATTATTTCACCGCTTGCCTCGTGTTTATGTTGTATATCATGATACCATAAGTACTGTCCAAACCCATCACTTGAAATGTTTGCTTGTGATCTGTTTCACACATATTTTCTGACATAAATTCTTAAATCGTGTAACGTTCTCAGGCATGCACATTATCATACAGGAACTACTCCTTTGGTATTAGTGTGGAAGGATGAGAAATGTAGCCAGTATGTCATTGATACAGACAGCAAAGGAGAAGTTCCAAACCAACAGCATGTAAGTGGACTTCACATGTCTCTTGGTCCCATGTTTATCATAGAGAAATGGAAAACAGAGTGAAAAGAAATCACTGTGTAAAGTTAAGAATACAGTTACTGAAGTAATTGCAATTAGCAATATATTCTCATATGATGAAAGTTCTCATATACACAATTGTTTGTATTATGTGCCCAGGTAGTTTTGGAGCTTCAAGATGACGGGAAACTAGTGACATCGGATGATCCACCTGTAGTATTTGGTTGCTTGGATGCAGATTTCGTAAAGCAGGTATGCTCAAGAGACAAAATTCGATCTAGACATTATGTGCCCTGTTTCAAGTTTTTAGAACCAAACCAGCTTAGGTTTATGCGTAAACAGACCCAGTGACTTAAGCTTGTAAGGACATGCAGTAGTGTTTTATGTTTTCACTTATCGAAGGACTTGAAAGATTTGGTAAAACTCACACAGCATTCGCATGCTTTGTCTCGGTTGCCATTCTGCTAACCTTGTGTGCTTCACGCACTTTTGGACTGTTCTGCCAGTCGGAGCTATCTTCGGGAAGCCTTCTTCGTTTTTCCATTGGCAATGGAGGGTTGAGCTGTGTGGATGGCAGACTCGAGAATGCGGATTTACAGTATCTTGGCAAGACCAATCGAGCCCGAGCTTTCGCTGATAGTTATTCCAAGGTTAGTGTCCTCAATTCTGCGTTGCAATTAGGGTAGGACATTTCGGTTTCCCATTCGGGTTTGTTTTTTCGGTTTAAAAAAAATTCTATCTATTCGATTTTTATGTTAGATTTGGTTCGGTCTGTTTTCACTTTGGGTTTGGTTTTTATTGAATTTTGGGGTTATTTTCATATTATGTTCGAGTTCAGTTTTAGAGAAATAGTATCTGTTCAGTTTTTATATCGGATTCGGTTTGGGTACGATCATGCATTATTACAATCGAAAAATGTCCATTACACAACCTTCCACCATTTTTTTTCTCCAGATCATGTTTCAGTATATTGCTCGGCATTCTCCACTGAAGATAGATGATCTTGCTGCCTCAGTCATTTCACACGACACTGAAGAAAACAAGGCTCCTGAAGTCGAGATGACTGGTTGAAGATTACGGCAAACAAACAGGGGTCTCGAAGATCATGTTCTGTACTAGCCCAGCTGCAGAATCTCCGTCTTCATGGCTAAGGCTAACCCTCTGTTCCGCTCAGTGTATCTGTTTCGATGGATGGAGCATTGGTCCTGTTGGTGATATTTACAGTCGCTTGTTGTGTAAAATGTTGATAATTTAGTATCTTGTTGCGACTATATTCCCATTAGCTATACGGGATTCCATTTATGCAATCACGCCTCGATTCCCTAGTTTTTATTTGAAAATAGGAAAATCTAAAAAAAAAAAAACACTATTTTCACAAAATAAAATGCTGAATTTTTTATTTTATCAAATAAACATTAAATTTTATATAAGTTTAACAAAATAAACACTTGATGTGGTATAATAAAATACAATCACGTCCGATTATTTTACTTAATTTTTTTGACAATTGAAAAAAATTCATATATTTTTTTAATCACTAAAAAAATTCAGTATTTTTTTTATAATCGCAAAAAAATTCATATATTTTTTGAATCATTTAAAAAGTTCAGTGTTTTTTAGATTCGTTTAAATGTTTAATGTTTATTTGACAAAAAATAAAGTTCAGTATTTTTTTGTCAAAATTGTAAAATTCAGTGTTTTTTTTAGAGATTTTACTTTTAAAAATTTATCATGAATTTATATTATTATGAAATATAGTGATTTTTAATTAATTAATTTATGAAATTGGTTTTACAGCACAAGCAGGCACTAGGCAGGCAAACGTGTTTTTCCCGCTGATGGAAATCTAATTTCTCCCAAAAACAGCGTGTTGTTTTACATAATGAAAAAAACGTCGCCAAGTCTCGCAACGCTTGGCGAAACGGCATGTAGTTTCTAAAACGAATGAACCAGGAAAAGGCAATGGACTCTGGGGTTAACAGAACAGAAGGTTTAATGAAGGCGAGCCTTAGCCTGCTACGACAATGGCGGTAGAAGGTTAATTCATGCGTGACGGGATCGAAGTCCATCGTTGTATTGAAAACCTGCTTTGCACTGCACACACTGATCGTGAGAAGAACGCATAGATGGAGAAAAAGAAGCAGAAGAAGAATCTATCGACGAAGAAGAAGAGCGAGATCGAGTTCTGCAAGGTGTGCCGTTTGCACCACGACCAAGGCCCGCGCCACAAGTACTTCCCTCGCCACAAAGACTTCCTCTCTGCCTTCCTCGATCGCTTCCGCGCCAAAATCGCCGACGTTCGCTTCTTCGTGAGAAACCCTAGCGTCCTCCGACCGCAGGAAGAGTCGCAGAACCGCACCTGGTGCGTCTTCTGCGACGAGGATATCGTCGAGCTTGGTAGCTCCTTTGCCTGGTATGGACTTCAATTAAATGCTTGGTAACTAGATTTCTATTAGTTTGCTCGATTTGAATCGTTGGTTTTGCGAGAGGATAGCAGGATCTGGATACAGAGAAGATGTATTGTGATTGTTCTTGGAGTTTCAGATTGAATTGCTTAACTACAGTACACAATTTCTGGTGGAATAGATAATTTTTTCTGCAGAATTGAGATTTGGTGGTTTGAATGGTGCGTATCTTTTGTTAGTGCCAAGGCCATCAATCACCTCGCGAGTGCTGATCATCTTAAGAATTTGAAGCATTTTCTTTGGAAATATGGCCCGGGAATGGATTGCATAGACAATTTCCGGCTCTCGGGGGCTGATGTAGCTCAGGTATGCACTTAATATCAAAAGAGATTATTCTGTTCTGCATCATGGTTTTGTGGCTAGAGGTTTTTCATTATCCTCGACCTGGGTACAACTTCTGCATTTTAGGAGCGTAACTATGAGAGAATGCATGACTATTTGGTTTTAATTCTATTCTAATGTTGTATGGTATAGTACCCAAATGAAGTTGATTAATGGTTGCTGGTTGCTGGTTGCAGTGGGAGACAAATTGCCAATCATTGGGAAATGAAGCAGCATCTTCTGATAAAGGGCCACGTGGACAGATTTACGGACCAACAAATGATATCCACAATAAGCTCGAGTTTGAAACTGTAGATAGAATTGAAAAAAGTCTTCGAAACCATATAAGATCAGACTATTCAAATGATGTTATGCCTTTACAGTATAATACAAATGAGTATCAGATACCGCATTCAGGGTTTCCTGAAGTTGCACAGATGCATACAATGGGCGATTACCTTCCTCCTTGTACATACACACCAAGTGATTTAACAGGTATACAGTATTTAATATCTACCTCATTTAATGAGTTTGTGGCATCATCCTGATTGGTTAGATGCTTATGATTGTCTCTATTTTTCTTATTCTACAGGCAACATGTTTGGCCAACATTCCATTCCCTATAGTAGCAGAGATTACTCAGACAGTGGTTATGGCAGTCAAGAGGTAGGCGTTAGTCGCAATAACTTGCTTTGCCAATTGGCAGTTTATTGAGCTCTCTACCACTGTAACCATTCTGGTATGTATTATTTATTTTGTTATACAGTTTTGGAATAAAATGAAAGACACCTAAACGTAATGAGAAATCTAGCTGTAGCTATCAGATTTGACATAGTTTGTACATGCACTCAGGCATATGATTTGTATATACAATTCAGTGCATGTTTTAAATCCTTAATGTGTAACTGAAAATGTTAAATTCTCAGATTTGAAATGTTATTAGATACTCTTTAGGTTTGCTCGTGGAGCATCATCTGTTTATTGCCCTTCCATGTAAGATTTCCCTCGAGATGATTTGAAAATAAATTTCTTGTTGGTATGTCTGAGCAGTTCTATTCTGAGATTCCGTGATCCTTGTTGTTTTATCCGTTTCTGGTGCATGGGTATGATGGCACCCTTTAATTTCATTATGAGTACCTGCTTTGTTTTTATCAAACTCATAATTTTTTTTTGCGTCTAGGAAAGATTAAGGGCTGTAACTATTTCCTAGTCCAGAGATTCCCTTCGATAAATATTTACTCATTGCATATTTCAACTCATATTGATATTGGCTTTCATGGTGATATATCAGGTATGGCAGGCTCAAAAACTAGTGGAGGGGACTCACAATTCTTCCGGTAACCATCTAACTGGTATTTTAAGTTTAATCTGCTTTCTGCTGTCTCTTTCTCTCTCTATTTTTTGGGTATTCTTTGACCAGTGATTTAGTGGTACAACATCAATTGTTATGTATTTTATTGAGATTTTAGGCAATGAAGTGTTCTAATTTCCAGAGCATGATTTTTTTTCCTTTTTCAGGTTCGCTAAGTATCACTTGCATTTCTTCATCACGCCTCGAAGACGCGAGCGGGAATGTGCACACTGGAGCTCCCCCTCCTTGGCTTGATACAAATGATGGGGATGTTTCTGTAGTTCAATCAAACCATCCAGCAACTAGCTTTGTATCTCAAGCAAATAAATCAGGAAAGACTCGTAAATTGAACCCTAAGAGGGTTGGCGCTGCATGGGCTGAAAGGAGAAAGATAGAGCTGGAGATGGAGAGGAGGGGACATGTTATAAACAGTGACGCTGATGCAGACTGGCTTCCCAATTTTGGTCGGGTTTGGCAGTCAGGCACTCGGAAAGAATCCAGAAAGGAATTCGAGAAGGAGAAACCAAATTCAGTTAAAACTGAAAGCATCTCTCAAGCGCCAGTGCGCATACAGCCCTACATTAGCAAACGAATGGTAGGTGTTACGTTTCTGTCAGCTTTTTTTATATTTATTTTAACAAGTATATCATACTATTTAGTTATTTCAGAAATTAAAATATTGTTGGTTTCGGTTGTTATTTATTTAGCCACGTAACATGCCTCTTCAGTCTCTTTCGATTCCAATATATTTTATGTCTGCCTCATGAGGAAAACAAATTGCTAAACGGGATCTCAAGTCTCGTTGGAGTCTTATGAGTGCATCTTTCAAACTTGTCTACGATACATTTTGTGGAACGTGCCGAAAACTTTAGAGCAAACAATATCATCTTGTCAGTTCATTTTGTATTCGGCATATACTCGATTCACTTTAACTAAATGGATAAATGTTGCTTTTTGGATTTTTTGTTTATGCTATCTCCATAAAAAGGAATATCTTTGGCCTTATGTGTATATGCATCTCCTGTTGCAGAGGATAGAAGACAATGAATGACGGTTTTGGAGTACATTCAAAACAGAAACAGCAGGGGTTCATCCATTTTGGAAACTTTCCTTGTAATCCAACTTCTTGGATATTTTGTGTTGAGGTATCTCTTTTACCATGTCCAGCATCTCAGAGAGTAATTTTATAGGTATTGTGGTCATGGATACTCTTTTTGAAGTTATATAACGAAGTGAATGCATCTCTTTGGCTCTTCTTTCAGAGGAAAAGGAATATCTTCCCTCGCTTATGTGTCTTGTACTTTCAGAGATTTTAAAAAATATATATATTTTGCTCTGTGCATACGCATACCTAGTGAGACGGTAGCTAAAGCTTTAGCTGTTTTTCCTTTGCACACATATTTGAAGGAAATTTTTGTACAGAATAATGCAATTCTCTTAGCTACTCTACATAATATAGCTTATTTTCTAAGAGAAATCCGATTTTGTGGCTCTGCTCTGCTGTGAGTGAGATATGGCTGTTGTTGTATAACAGGAAGACAGCATGAGTATTGCCTTTGTTGTACAAAGTTGCTAATATTTTATCAGTAATGTTTCTGGTGAGCAGAAACTTGATGTATTTGATTGGGTATTGATCCTAAACCTCCAGAAGTTGCCTTTAGTCGAAACCAGATTCTCCTGGCACAAGAATTCCCAAGAGAACCACTTCTCAGCAGTCCTGTGCACGTCATGCACGAAAACATCTGTTGTATTATTACTTTCTTGCCTTGCTAGCACTGCTGCGGTATATATGGTTCCCATCCTACCTGGAGCCTCTAACTCGCTGCCCCGCGGCCCGTCAACTACTATCACATCCCATTTGATTTTGTATACTTCCTTTGGTAAGTCCCTAAGTCCCAATTTGCAGTCTGAAGCTTGAAGCGGATCCACATCGAGTGAACATGCTGGATTATCCCTGGCATGTCTCAGCAGCTTGTAAGCACGTTTTACTTCCATGTGATAGTACTTGACTTTGTAGATTCTCGTATTGTTGGGATTCACTTCAGTTGAAGTTGGTGTCTTTGCAGGTCCATCTTCGAGAATGACGGTGATGCCTCTGGTGTTGATCGAAGATAACACAAGATACTGAGGTGCAAACCCGAAAATGAGAATGTTGCAAGGGGATCTACGGGTAACAACTTCTGATAAGAGCTTGAATTCCTTTTCTGTGAGAATGCTTGGACTTTCAGAAGCCTTGATTTTTGGGTCAGATTCGCATCCTGGGGAAGAAGAAGAACAAGTCGGTTGTAGGGCCATTTGAGAGAATGCTCGAGATGAAGACGACGGAGATTTGATGGAAATCCTGAGGAGTCTGAGAACAGAGAGGCTCGAAAGGACAAAGATGAGAAGAGGTATGATTTTACGCACGGGAAATTTGGTCATCCTATTCTTTGCTGCTTTGATGTATTTGAGATTCTTAGGTGAGGCAGGAGATGAGAACCGAACTATAGGATTGAGAATCGGACGACAAGACTGATGAACCTCTGGGGGCATTTTCTCTCTTCTTTTTCGGTATGATCACATCAATGGATTCAAAGTTTGCGGTGGTATGGCTATTTCTTTTGATTATATGATTTTTATCTGTGCTTTAGCTTTTTTGTCATCATAACTGTTTGGTCATATCTTGGACTTAGAGTGAAGAAGAAGGAAAGGCCCTTTTGCTTGTGTTTGAAGTCTTTTTTTTTTCTTTTTTGTCAAGTCGTTTGCTTCTTAGTTTGGCTTTTACCTAATTTCTTTCCAAGTTTGTGTGATATATGAATCGAAAGCTATATCTACGTGTACCGATGCAATTTGAAATTTGGGGTGTAAAATATAAGTTTGGTGAGTTGATAATTTCCAATCAATCTTTTGCCTTGGAGATTGAGAATTCTAGGATGTCGTCGTTATCGTACGTCGTGTGCTATTTTGTTGGGTTCGGCTCGTATTGGGCACACTGGACATGAACTCGATACCTTAAAAAAATATCTTAGTGACCTTTGTTAAGGATGTCAAAATGAGCTCGGCTCGCGAGCTGGCTCGAGAGCCGGCCCATATAGTCCCGAGCTGTGCTAGGAAAATTTGAGCCCGAATACAAAACGAGCCGAACGAGCCAGCTCGTCACGAGCCGAGCTTATCCGAGCCAGCTCGGCAAGCTCACGAGTTGGCTCGCAAATCCTCCATAAAATGTCATCCCCCATTCTCTGAAGGATCGCTGTTATAAGATTCGTTAAGCTCTGTGTTTCTGCAATTACAGAAGGGGTTTATGAGTGTTGCGTCGATCATTCGAGTTGGCTCGCGAGCCAGAAAAAAATTATTTTATTTTTTTAATAGTTTTTTTAATAATTTTTAAAAAGATTTATCAATTTTAAATAATTTTTCTTATTTTTAAATATATTAATAATTATTTTTAAATTATTATTTTAATATTTTTTAATTATATTTATTATTTTTATTTTTATTTTTATATTTATTCGGCTCGCGAGCCGACTCACGAGTTAGAGCGACTTGGATCGAGCCAAGAATTTCTTGGCCTGAATATAAACGGGCTTAATGAGCTGGGCTGTAAACGAGCTGGCTCGTCACGGGCTGGTCCGAGCCGGCTCCTTTGACATCACTAACCTTTGTTGAAATGAATGAAATCTTTGGATTGTTACGTTATAACTTAAATGCATGTTGTAGTACATTTTCCTGATTTTCTCATCAAATTAAATTTGTGAAGATGATAAAGAAGAGTCCATTGGTCACCTCTCTTTTCAAGTGCATGTTCAGCTTGGCTTTTACTGTTTAGCGATGGATATTTCAGTTTTTTTTAGTTATTTTTTTTTTCAATTTTGTAAGAATCATATTTACTGGCGGTTTTAGTTTTTATTGAAGTTTATTATTTTATATTGGAATCTAATTCCATCAAGTTTGGTTAAATTTGGTGCTAGAAACATCACATCTCAACCCAAAAATAAAAAAAAAAACGTGGCTGAGTTGCTATAATTCTGGTTATAGAGTGTGGTTAGTATGTCACTTATCTTCCCAGAAAAAATAGGCATCTAATTATAGTAAGATGTGATTTGATGTTTGTTCATGCACGGACTAGGTTTTACAAATATTGATTTTAAATGTACGAATTCAATTTTTCCAACTTGTGTTTTTCTTTGTAACCTATGAGATGTTTTGGTTCCCAACTTTAAGTCTTTACCTCCATCATCTCAATACGTTCCACAAGCAAGGGGAGGATGCAATACGACCAAGAGAGTGAATAATTAAACCCCCAAAGACAGCAATCATCGGTCGAAACGCTGCTTGCATTTGGTTGCAAGCATATAATGAAACAGAACGAAACGATCCGCGAGATAAGACTATAAAAATTGGGGAAATATGGGAAAGGGGGCTGCTTTCTGATTGTTCAAACGAGTATCCCAAAAGAACCCCTCAAAATGATTAGAATTGACGGAAACCATCAAGCAACAAAACACCTTTCTACTGTAAAACAACAAAAAAGGCTGTGACTAAGTTTCTCCAAAGTGCTCTCTCTCATCTTCTCTTGTTATCTGCAAGTCACTGACCAAAGGAAATTGAAACAAAAGACCGATCAATATTTGAATTGACGAACAGTTCCCTCATAACTGAAGTAAGAACGTTCCAGCTGTTTTTCTTTTGATCAACAAAAAGAAAAACAAAATGAAGCCATAAGAACAATAATGAAATGGAGACGTTCGGACATGGGAACGTATTATTCGAGTTATGATTCCAAATCAACAACTAAGGGAATCAGAAGGAGCCTCTGAGGAGCGGGTAGTTCATCTTATGGAAAGGCCAAAACTATGGGTGGCTTATTTGGTTATCAACGGAATAAGTGAATCGATCTCGAATGATTATGATTTCTCTAAACCCGGAAGAAAAAAACCGAATAAAAAAATAACCGAAAATTTCTTTAAAAAAATGAGTATTTTTGTCAATATAAAAACCGAACTGAATTCAATATAAAAACCAAAAGGGTGTTAGACACAACTATCTGACTTACAAATCTATAATCTTTTGAAAATTTAATTTCCCTGAATGAAAAACAACGACCCCTCCGTACAAAACCAGATAACGGTTGTGGATGAAATCTTATCAGATGTCGAACGAGGACACATGGGTGATTTGCTCAAAACCAGTCTAGTTAGACAGAAGAGTTAGAAACTGCTGAGGGGATTTTATTCATGGTGGAATCCAATCAGTCAGGATACCTAATGAACAAGAAACACATGACGCATGGGATTGGGAAGGCATTCAACAATCAAAGTAGATAGATAACATAGACGAGCAACATTTATGAACATCAATTCCTATTCCTAATAACGCAAACGAAAGTCTCGGTCAATAATTCAGTTGGTGGGTATATGAGAGAACAGGGAAGGAAAAACATAAACCAAATCGAACAAGATGTCGAGGAGTTTACCTAACCGGAACCGACGATAATGTTGTTGATCGGGATGAAGATCAGCTTGACAAAGAAGCCGACGAATCCCATCACCACAAACCCGATCGCTGTACGGATCGCCACCTTCGTGAACTCTGCAACCAAAGAAAAAGCAATATCTCATCATCGCAACCACGAAAATTAACAGATCGGTCGATCGGAACAAACTTTACAAATCGGATCCATTATACGCACGAATTTTCGCACCAGACAAAGTCAAACTAAAAGATGTCGGAATTGAGACCATGGTAACGACGGATCCGAGCGAAACCAAACACCGAAAAACACAGATCTCCAAACACGATACATATTTGGCAAGTACCTTTGCGATCTGGCTTGTGGCAGCGCTTGACGAGGCGAACACTGTCCTTGGCGAAGTCCCTGAGCGGGTCGACGACGGAATCAATGGCGTCCATGGCGATTTTTCTCCTCCGATGATGCGAATTCTCAGATTGTCTGTAGCTGAGAGGAAATCGAGGGTTTGTGTTGGATATATATCTAAGAGGAAATGAGAGAGAGAAGGAAAAGGAGAGGGGAAGCCGATTATTCCGGACCAAATCTGCCACGTCAGCATCTTCAATATTTACTTGGGCTGATAATTGGGCTTGCAAATGTATGGGCCATTGGCCCATAGCAGCCAGAGGCTTGAATGGACCCTATATATCAAATGGCTTGATGTTAAATGTAGAGGTGGGCATTTCGGGAAACGATTCGGATTCGGGACGGAATAAATCGGTTCGGTTCTTTCGGTTTTAAAAAAATAGATACCAATCGGATTTTTTATTGTATTCGGTTCGGTTCGATTTCGGTATCGGTTCGGTTCGGTTCCGGGTTTTATTAAAAAAAATGATAGATTTCCTTTAAAAATATTCGGTTTTTCGGGATTTTTAAAGTTCGGTTCGGTTCGGTTCCGAGAAAATTCGGTTCTCTAAAAATGGTACCGTTCGGAAAATAACAGCGGTTTCGGATCGAGAAAAATACCGTTTTAGCGGTTCGGTTCGATCCGGTTCCGAAAAACCGAACCGAAACGCCCAGCCTTAGTGAAATGAGTGATCCGTTGTTTTGAAAATATGAAACTCTAACATAGTTCTTAAGCATCAAATGTCAGACGAGTTGGTCTATGAACTCAAACTAAAGTCGACGACAACGAATCACAATTCACAAGCAAGCAAATCCAATGACGAATTTTGAAGGACGATGAATAGATGGTTAAGAAAACGAACGGGCGATAGACGACGATCGGATAAAGAAGAATCGAAAAACACTGAGATAATGAGCACGTCATTGATGACGAACGACTAGAAAATAGAGGTGGATACAGATCGGATATCTTGATTTTTTTTTTGTTAATCTGGAAATTCACCGGACATTCGGCCCGACTACATCTCTCAGAGGACCGGGAGAGTCCATATGAATACCCCTCCCCACCTCAGGAATCGAACCGCTGACGTGAAGGCACATTGACCCACACCTCAACCACTCGCCCACACTAGTTTGGGTAAGCATTATTTAGAAAGTCCTACTGGGATATCTTGATTTTGTTTTCACTCTTCAAGGATTTTAGAAAAGTGTTATCTTATTTTTGTTTTCGTAAAATAATGGATATCCGCACTTGATGTTGAACTCAATTACTAAAAGTATCCGAATCCATTAAAATCTTGAGAAAATCGTTGATTTTTGTTGACTTCAAAATTCAAAAATATTTTGATAATTTTATTTAGATTTATATTTATTAAAAAATCCAAACTTAAATTGGCAGTCAGAATTTTTAATCTCATCACACCAATCTTCGACTTCGTTATTAGACGAGAATTTACGTTCCGAATACCCGCAAAATCGGATACTCGAAAATTCCCGAATTCTAAATACCGGCACAGTCCTACCAGAAAGACCGGTGAGCGACGATGTGTATACAACAAACCCTCGTTTGTTACTTTTGTTTACCAACATGGGTAATTACTTACAACTTTTATGTTTATAATTACAGTTTTAGCATTTTCATATTAAAAAAAAAAGTATTAAATTCTTATTCTTATTTTATTTTATTTTTTTTCGGCCCGTAATCCAGATATGGTCCATCACAGATCAGCCCGTGTATGTAACGTAGGGTTGGTCCGTGGACCCACATCCCCATTTGATAATCCCACAAGTGAAGGACACCAAATTATGAATTAAAAATAATCTATGAACCAATTCCTACAGATTCATGTATTTGTACGGCTTTTTCTGCAGAAACGTTTTTTAGAAACAAGTGTGTGTGTGTATACATAATATATATATAGAGAGAGAGAGGTGAAAATCACTCCATTGATAGAATCAAGAGAGAGAGAGAGAGAGAATCATAGTCAGTCAGTCATATAAAATGTACGCTTATTTCGGTATTTACATAACGATATAGTGTATGTGTATATTAGGCAAAGGATGAGAGAAGAGATTCACTCTTTTTCCTCTTTAACTCATCCAAAACCGAGAAGGTTAACAACAGATTCCCATCGCAGGTTATAAATGGTTAGCATGAAACAAAAGAAAAGAGAAGCCAATGTGTTGAAGGAAAAACGAATTCACCTGTGCCTCTCCAAGAAACCGAATTTGTTTAGTTCCCGTGTCGTTTGAGGTAAACTAGTACTCCGAGCCCCGCTGCAAGAGCGGCCCCTGCCGCAACTGTTCTGTAAGCGGCAGCCCACGAGTTTGAATGCTCGTACCCCATAGTCTCCGAGCTCGAAACTCTCTCGTCTCCTCTTCTTTTCGTGTAATCCAAATGCAGTTTCAAACCCTGCAACGAAAACAGGA